TATCAAGGAGTTTAAATAGTAAATGGGGTTTTTTCCTTTGCTTTTAGATTTCCAGGCTGACCAAGTATTTGCTTTTAGATTTCCAGGCTGATCAAGTATTTGCTTTAAATAAAATGTGTTTTCCGGCCGTTAAAAACCTAACTTCAGGTTTTTTTGAATACTTTTGCCTTGCTATACTTAATTTTCATACTACTCATTGAAATTTTTTTTAAGTGCCATCGTCTGGGGCTCCTCGGTAAAACACCAGCCCCAAAGAGTGGGCAAAGACCATGTTCTTGATGATGAAGATGTAGTTCAGATCGTCAAAAGGTGGGTAATCTGTTTCATTCATAATTTTATGTTCAACTGGGTTGACAGTCGATAGGTTCAAGCTTCTTCCGCTAAATCGGCTTGGAGTGTTAGGTAGAAGGTCTTCACCCAAAGCTCGTTGTTTCCTAATGGTAATAAAGTTTCAGTTTGTGACCAATTTTCTGTTCAGTTGGCCATGTCATTGAATTTTGCCAAAATGACTATCCACCCAATCTAATTTCTCCGAGAATTTGTTATGATTAACGCCTTAGATACCTTTTTTAGGAGTCAGTGCATATCATTCTTTAGCCTTGTTTGCTGCAAACTATCCCAAACATCTATGATGCTTTTATTTTAATGGTGTTAGCTGCTTTTGATATGGAATTTGTTTGAAAAACAACACCACTTTATTGTTGTCTCATTTCTCTTTTTAGAATTTGACTGCTTGCCCACCCTCCCATTTGAAGACTGTTGTGTATTTGGCGATCTTGTATTATGTATGAAACCACGGTTAATAAAGTTCAGGTCTTGCTCATTTGTGTTTTTTTCTTGATTGTTTGCAGACAATTTACCCCTGTAAGTTATGCTTGGGCAGGGTGTTTGGGTTCTTGCTTTGGCGAGTGATTTAATTAACTTATGGAACATACCCTCAACTTCGTCATATCTCCATTGTGTGTTTGTTTACTCCTCAATGGAGTTTCATGTAACCAATAAACCAACTATGCTATGTTGATATCAGCACGATGCACTTTGGTCGCCTTATATGCACTGACGTGAGGCTCTCATGAATGAGAAGTCGGTCGCCTGTTTGACTGGACTCTGTGATGTCCCATACTTGAGTTTCTTGGTCGCTTTCATTGAACACTATAAGGGGTGAGTTGTTGCTGCAGCTGTCGCTGCCTGTTTGCGCTTTAGACGGAGAAGAGTAGCAGTAAGTTCAAGGGCGTGGCGCCGAGCAAGGAGGAGCGTAGGACCTGTTGGGCAGCGCGGGACGCCTTCTGGGATTGTATCAAAGACGTTTACTCCAGGGGCCGTCAGGTCCCCGATGAGCTCTCCGATACTGTCAATGCCTCCCAATGTGTCTCCCTTCGCAAGACCTATGAGGCCGTCTGCCCAGAGTCCTGGGTATGCTCAAATTACTTGCTTCAAATATGAATGTGGATATATTGCAGGATCGTAAAAAAGTAATGCGGTGAAATAATTCATGAAAGCCTTTTTTGTAATGGCAGAATGGTACTAAACATTTGTGATGGAAGCGTCATAGTAGATTAAAGGTTGCTTTCCCCAGGGTTAATATCTCCTCCTGTATCGCACAAATGTTTCACAGCGTAACAATACTGCAGTGTCCATTGCCTTGTCCTTTAGTGCATTAATATTTGTCAATTGGAAGCGTTATTCACTCAACTGTTTTATTCTTCCTCCTACTTATTGTTGGCAAAGTTTTCGTTTCACGACCTGTGTGGGAAAACCCTCAGTCGGTGCTGAGAACTAATGGTTTACCAAAATTCACTTTTCATTACTGCGGAAGTACATGAGTTCAATCCACACCAAACAACTTCCCCGTAATTATGAAAATGTCCCAAAGTTTGTATGAAACTGAAGCGGCTGCGGAACTCTCAATCTTTTCTAGGGATGAGTTTTGCTTTTGAAGGACAGTTTGACCCGTCTCATTTCCTCTTCTTGTAGATTAAACTCTTCGATCGACAGCACGACTTTGACCTCTTCAGAGCCTCGGTGGCTGAGGAGAGCCTGAAGGAACGAGCCAAGAATGCCTGAAGAGTGTGGCTTCCACGTCCATATACCACTTTTTTCAGTGAAACAGTAATTTTTGTTCCCAAACTTTAGTACGTCTGGTTCCAATATTGGAGGATAAATGTTTAGGTAAAAGACTCTTGTGTTTACAGCGTTTGTCCCACCACGTCTTGTCAGATCGAGCAAGTCTCTAGAATACCGACATGGGACTTTCCCTGTTTGTCAAACTTGAGAGTGTGAGGAATCAAGAAATTATGCTTTTTCTTTGTTTGATTGAATTGACCTAAACACCTCAGATCCGTGGGAATAGCGTCGCGGGATTTGTTGACATTTTTCATTATGAAATTGAATTTTTCAGCATTCGAGGAAAAGTACGGATGATAGGTATTGCATAGGCCAACTGCAAAAATCGAAAAAGGTGACAGTGAAACTACGTAATTGAAATGGTCCAGGCAAATAAACCTAATCACTTCATTAGATTATTTATTATTGTACTATCCCAGGCACCTGGTTCTATTGTTATGGATTGTCACGGCGAAGTTTCTAACACTTTGAAATAGGAGCGTAGTTGTTTGGGCACACTGACCCGGCTCTAGATGCGCCGGCTGATTCGTACCCCCATGTTTACTCGTCTCCATTCTAATGGGCTAGTGGTAGAGCTTGCAATTTGAATGACTTAAGCAAGTCGGATCACGTCTTCTGGTAAACAGAACCCCATGTGACTTTATTGAAAAGGTGAAGTGGATTAGCATAAAGTAAACGCAAAGGTCCCGCTCTGATTTACCAACCATGGGAGCGACCCCAAGCCTCTTGGTGCATGCTTACGAGTTACTTTCTCACACTTACAGCCTTGATATCTAGGTGCTGTTGGGTTTTTTTAGTGCCTACTATAGGCATTGCATGAAAATTCTTTTTAACTTTTTTAAGCTTTACGGTAAAACCCCCAAACTATGATGGAGGCGACGGGTTACCCACTATCAAGTGGTGCTTTAACAACCCCTCTCTTTGGCACCTTTCTCCTCCTAGGTTGCGTGAATGGGGATAAGTTAATCAGAATTATTAGGACTTAGTCTCCTTAACCGTTGCACCTAATATGCATTTCAATAGGACATGTACACGCACGTCGCTAGCCTTCCCAATCGCGCGACCGACGATCCACCTGTGCGGCGCCTCGTCGATGTCAACTATGTGTTAGTAGATAGTTTACTGGATTCCTTTTACAAAGTTTTTGGATTCCTTCGTAAACCAATTTGGTGTTAAAATCACAACTCTTTGTTTTTTTGCCTTTTTCATATCAATATAGGCACCATGTCGACGACCTGCAGCGTCGAATATTCACTAGTGTAATTGCAACACTACGCGACTGAATTGCGGATACGATTTGTGGTTTGATTTTTCGATTCACTAAACAGAAATAGCCAGAGCATGTGAATGTGATCATCTATCCCATGCTTAGCTAAGGCGATATGAGAAGATAAATGTATTTTGATTAGTCTATTCTTTATCAATTCGGGATCCCATGCACATTCTTGAGTCCCACTGGGTTCATTTTGGAACATGAGCCTCTTCAGTGTGCATTCTACAAAACGTAATACCCTCTGTACAGCTTGACATCTACCAATTGTGTATGCTCCATGTCTTAGAAGTTTAAGGTGGATCAAGTAGTCGCTTCCATTTTTACACCGTTTCGCTTCATTACTACCCGTGCTCTGTGATTTTGACGGATGTGTTTTTGTTTATGTTGCCGACTTGGTCCTCATTTTTCATTTAAACGCAAAACACGTCTCGCAGTCAAGTGTCACAATTCTAAGGATGTTCTGTATATTCTTAGGCCTTTGCGTGTAATATGTTCGGTTTGCTTTGGAGGTTGGCAAACTTTAAAGCTTAATGCTAACCCTTTTCAGCTTCCGTAAAATATTCATGTTTTGCAGGAAGTTTTAAACTGAAAAGTGAAGTGTATCCAAGCGCAAAGTGAAAGTGTTTTTGGGCCAATGACAGGGGGATCCTTACTGGTTAGTGCCTAGCAGCTGGCTTATCAGCGAAGTAACATCAGAAGCGGCGAGTGACCTCTCTACCCATCGGTACAATATTCACTAATTACCAACCTCGTAAGGAGGTCCGATAAGGTAGCATGCGGTTACGTTGTTTGCGGGCAAAAGTAGGCGATCCATTGGTACGTGACAATGCATTGACGGATGGCGAGGGAAACCTTATGTGTTTAAGATGGTGATGAAATAGCAGATAATGCTTACTTAATTTTATAAAGTGTGGAAAGATTGTACGATTCATGAATAAATCCGAGGGTGGCTTTGTTAAGGAAGGGATGGTTGCATTACCAGTTAATATGCTCAAGAAAGTTCATCATTGCATTGAAATGCATCCATTAAAAGAGGACTTACAATGACATCCATTATGTTCATTTCTTTGATATCTCCAACTGACTGCCCATTTGGCCAGTCGACAGCAGGAGTGCCAGTGAATTCAGTGGCCTGGAACGACCACAACGCGATATGCATGGGTGGATTCGGCTGTGGTAGCGTACTGCCCCCCAGGGCATAATCAGCTACTCTGGGGAACCCTGTGCGAGATTTGACCACTTTATTGCGGGTAGGACATCATTCGGTGGAAGCCTCAATGGCTAGGCACCTTTCCGCCTCCGTTAAATTTCCGCAAACTATGATACTTCATCGTGCCTAATCCTCGGCACTTTGTCAAAGAAGTGGATCACAGGCCGCCTCTACCCTCGCTACCATCACCCACCTGGCTCTCCCGTGTGCTTCTGTGTGGTAGCACACTAAATTGACCTTTCAATTTTGCTTAATATACCCAATCGGTAACTTTTAAACTGGCGAAATACACCATTCTACATACATGTTTTGTGAAAGGTCTGTGCTCCTTCCCACGAGTGTAATGCAACCAACAAAAGCATTAAAGTTAACATGTAGCCAGGATTTGAATTTTAGTCTTTTAACCATAGTACTGAGAAGTAGCCTTTCAAAAAGTCGAAATATTGACATGATTACGATGGTCGTGGCAGTGTCAGTGTGCAAAAGGCGCAGTTATGAAACATTCTGCGTCAACAGAAGGACGCGTCATTATGTAGAATTCAGTAAGGAAATCTTGCCCTATTATATTGGAATTGTTTACCTCTTATGCGCAAAATTTGTGAATTCATATGTGATTCTCATTTGTATGAGGCTTTTCGGTGCTGCGGATTTTGTGGTTGCAATAATAACCTTTTCAAACCTCCAGACGATGTCAACGATGCACATCAGACTATTTGAAAACAAGCTCAGTATGCTGCCAATTTCGTTGTGGCGTAGTTGTGGTAACGCATTGGCAACGTGTGGTTTTTGAATCGATCTAATGGCATCCCTATAGCAATTCACATGGAACATAACGAGTATCCTGCGTTATGACTTGCCGCATCATTCTTTGTATGGCATCGACCCCCAAGAGCGTATGTGTTTTGGCGTTACGCCGTAATAAGAGGACGAAAACTGAATGAGTCTTCATTCAAAGGTCGAAGTGCCAGTCATAGTGTCCGTAAACGTGAGAGCCTGTTCACGGCGAACAAACTAATGGTCGAGGAAGTCGTGAGTAGGATTATGGTGGATAATCTTCTCATAGGCATGCACAGCTGACGAAGAAGCAAAACTTCCATGTTGATCACATAATATTTTGTGTAGTATGACCCGATGCCCCGTACCGCTTGAGAAGGATTTGAGAGTGCTCATCTCGTTGATTTTGTTAACCAGAAGAGAGAAAACTTGGTGAATAAATGACATTTAATTCTACAGATTTTTTTGGTGTGGCAATCTGTTTCAGAGTTCTGCGTGGAAAATTCCTTCAAATGTTTGCAAGCACCAGTGCTAATTTGTCAAACGCGGAATAAGGAATGGAGGAGTTTCCCCGACCTATGAAAGTGGCTAAGTTTTTCATTTTTTTTGATGGACAGGCAAAGATACAATTATATCCATGCTCTCTTGAAGTAATTTACTTTGTTGGTATGCCATTTAATGCAAAACGCAACACTTACACTGAGGAAAGTTGTGGAGTAAACCGGGCTTCTCCATTACGTGCTTCCAATTAAGGATGCTTGTTCACGCAATTATCACGACAGTACTTATTATCCACTAATTATTTGAATTGCGTTGCTTAATTCCATTAAAGTGATGTGACATCCGTCTTGCATTAGGAGAGTGGACGTAGGATTCGCGTCGCTGCTTCAAAAATAGTGGCAGTCATAATTGCAGAGATTAGATTAATGCAACCTGTTTACCCTTCGGTTGCTTAGGCGACAGGTCTACTCACCCACTCCAATTCAATTGGTGCCTAGCTAACGCAGTGACACCGCAAGAATCCCACTGCTTAAAATAGCTGAAAACTAATTCGTTTTCAAGTTAAGGCACTAAAGTGTACCATTTAGTCTGGAGATCCTCTTGTTTCACTAAAGAATCCGTTTAATGAGCTGCGTCAAAGAGCTTCGGTGACTTATATGAAGGAAAAGTAAAGAGACACTTGTCTTAATTTTATTCTTTTCAAGAAGTTATTTTGTTGGAAATGTGGTTGCAGTAAAAGCAAATCCTATGCCTATGAAAAAATGTGAGGCACAGCATCACATTTCCACCTCACATCCCTTGTAATGGCGTATGGAATTGGTAAAAGATGCGTTTTCAAGGCAGTTCCGATGCAAATGTGTCTAAGTATTGGGCGCGTATTTAAAGAGTGTCAGCCAAAAATACTGGTTCACCGTGTATAGCGAACAAGAAGAGGGTAGTTTTGTGCATGTGTGCCAACTTATTTCGCTAAGCGTGACTTATTTAGCTCATGTTAGTAGTTCAGCGCCGTGTATGGTCTAACTGGAAAAACAAATAGCTTGAGCAAAGACAGAGAATTTTAAATAGGATTGGAAAATTTGGTGCTCTTCTCTAGTTGACGAGAGTTGAAAACAACTTTTCATGCTTCACAGTAAACAGACGTGGACCATCCCACGGCGTATCGAGAATGGGCAAGTTGCTGCACCGCCAGACAGCTTATAAGGCAGTAGCAGCCAACCCCATCCGCCTTATTGATGGTCTTAAGACGGGCGAGTCGACTTCAAAAAGGTAATGTTACGTTGCCTGGACAGTAGGAAATGCAAGATTAAGCAGACGAGTAATTAGAGCGCAAGAGTGACGGAAAAAGTGGGGTTCTTGTAGATTATTTCATCTAAGCTTCAGGCCCGATTAAATGGAGTGTCCATTTGTTCGCTGAGGCTTTTCCATCGAAATTCAGCAGAAAATAATTAGTAGTCTTCCCTATAATGCTCATAAACGTGGCACATTTGTGGAATTTTGGCCAATGTTACTCAAGAGCTAAAACCACATCAGTAGAAAAAGAATGTGCGCAAAAGTAAAATTTATTGCTTACTAAATGGAAGATTAGCAATAATGATGGAAATGTCCCAACTGCAAAAAAAATTACAAGTGCACTTGATTGTAAAGTATTTTATCCTCAGCTTGATGTGTTTGACAGGACTCATGCAGACAGGCACACAAACCTCGCCTGGCGAATGCACATACCCGGCTGGTCCGAGTGGATAATTAGGTATGCAAGCACTTCTACGACCCACTACTACACAGCAGAGGGGCCTAGGCAAGGTGTCAAGCCCCAAAAACCCAACAACACGTTAGAGAATTTCAGCTGCATAAGAGATCAGCAGACGAGGAGGGTGCGAGGAATGAACAAGCAAAATCTCCAAAAAACCACCATGACGGTGATCCAAATCGCCATATAGAATCTTATTTCTACACAGGTTGAATGAACAAAAACCGCAGAATAAAGACTAACACACCCTAAGAGATGCCTCTTCAAAATAGTAGCAAACCACCTAGACTGCCGATTGAGAGTAATTAATAAAAAACCCAGCAAATGCGGACAAAAAACCAAGACCAACTGAGACCAGACAATGAACTTAATGACCTAATCCGGAGATCTGGACGGGATCTGCTGACATGTCTCAGAGACTTTGATACGGCTACAAATCAAACTAGTCCACATCTCACATTTCTTTTTGAGCAAAATACACATCCGCATGGATGTGATGACTTTATAGAAGTGTAAGCATCAAATCTGTTAGCGCAGTCTGCCCAAACTGAATCACTTGCAGTACGTTTGCTACATGATTGGTACCAATGCCCAAGTTTCCTACTGTCTAAATAACTCGAACATAACCTCTGCAAAATTGAAATCTTTCCCCACGAGGTGGACAAAGAAACAAGAACGCATTAGGACGAAAGACTTTGGTTTTATTAATTTCAAGGTGAAGGAAAAGTATATTAATGTATACGCAGTTAATATAATCCGTAGTGTATACTCTACTACGCATTCAAAGGATAATGGTGATGAAAGGGCATATCGCTTTCACTAAATGCGATATGGAGTGATAATAGTCAAGAAAGTGAACAGAAAAAGTGGGCAAACAAATGATCTGATTGTACAGGTGCATTCCTAATACACGTCTATCTAGGTACTAAGAAATACGGCAACAGCTCGTGGAATTTCCACGACGGCCTTTTTGGGACTTCCACAGACTCCCTCGGAGTCGGAAATGCGAGACAGCACCGCCTCTAACGCCGCCTCCATCGCACAGAGGATAGAACTTCCCCTTGGAAAAGGCGAGAAATCGGGCGGGCTTAGAGGAACTCTCCTCAGGAATGGGAGGCGGGGGTGGTGGAAGCGGAGGAGGGAGGTTGCAGTCTACCTTCGTAATGGCACCGGTGGCAGTAGTGGTGGTAGTGGCAAGGGAATTATTGGAGGAGGGGATGTAAAAGAAAGAGTTTGCCACAGGCATGGAATCGGTTGACACCGATGAGGTTGCATAACGCGTGTCCCCATTTGGAGCGATGGGATTTTTGGGGAGATTGGTCTTGAATGCAGTGGCGGGAGGAGCAGTGGCTATTCGGGGAGGTGGGGAGGCGGAGGATTGTCGAAGAGCGGATTGAGTGGCGTTGATGCGAGGTCGTCGCAAGGAGGCGTTTGCTGACACGGACATGCCCGGCTGGTTGACCAGAGTTAGACTCCTCACCAAGGGAGAGGTGGAGGGTGGTGGAGGAAGTCCATCGAAACTGGAACCTGTTGAGATACGAGGAAATCCTCCCGTTCGCCGCCGTGACTGCATTTGTAGCTCGTAAGTGCCCCTCAGAACATCCACCATGTGGCGCGAATCACGGAGGCTACTGGCCAAGGAGGCAAGTGAAAAATTTGATGAAGTGAGACCGTTCTGCTGTCGGTTCGAAGCGCGTACGTACGTTGGTGCTGCAGCGCACCACACCGCAGACAAACGATGGGTGTTTACGATAGCCGGTGACGTTTTAGGAGCGAGAGATGAATGCGGAGATGATGGCTTCAACTCGTCTTCATCCTTGGAAGGACTGTGTGTCTTGTTTTCATCCTCCTCTTCTCGAATGGTTGCACAGACATCTGTGGCGACGGGAGGCTTAATAAAAAGATGGTCGAGAATGTTGGGGGCGGATTGGCAAGAAACACTGAAGCGAGCATTGGAGACGTCACCCTCCTGAGGCTGTGGCGCCTCCTCCAAAGTGGACATAGGCGGTTCGAGAGCGGGCTTTGGAAGGTCACGATCGGGCGCTTCAATGGCAAAGCGGCCAGTGGTGAAGTTAAGGCTCATTCGAAGAAGGCTCAAATGAGCAGATGCGCTGTTGTTTCCTTGCCCCAGAACATAAAAGCCGGGTGGACCGCTCCTTCGCCGGTTATCACGCACAGTAGATGAATTCGTAGGTCGAATGCAATTATTCGGGGTGTGCCGTGAGGTGAGGAACAGATTTCCTGCTCCCGATGGTGACTGCCGCCATCTCCGATCAACCGCTGGCCACAGGTTAACACCGCTGAGAGGCCGCGAAGAGTTGGCGCTGAAGCTTGCAGCTGAACCAGTGTAAAATTTTCGTGTGGACCATGGAGGGCTACGCGCCCGTGGCATCGAACTTCGATTCGCATAAATAGAACTCATGGATTTTCTGTTGACAGAAGTCTGACGCGGCTGTTTAACAGCGGTGAGGAACTGATTAGGAGGACGTTTAGACAGTTCTTCCTCATTTTCAGCCGGGATCTTCCACTCACCATCCTCCTCGGCTATATAATCAAGCAACTGCGGACTACTTTTAACAGAGATCAATGGACGCAAAGAGGGTCGAGTAGAACGGAGGTGACGGGACGTAAGCAGAGAGGAGACCGATCGACGACCGGTATCTCCGACTCCGGCATTCAACGAGGTCTCCGAAGCGACCCGTTCGGGCAGGTCCGCTCTCGAGTTCGGTCGAGTAAAATACTTTGCCGGCTCCAGGTCTAGCGCATGCAGATCTGAAGCTGCGCCAACATCACTGCTTTCGAGCTCCGAGAGAAGTTCGGAACGAACGCAAGCGAGACTAGCAACCGCCTCAAATTCCTCCTGCTCCTCGTGGAGTAGGGCCTCATCGGTTGTTTCGTTGAAGTTAATCTCATCTGCAAGCCTATGATCCATACCACACACTCCGACGGCAGAAACAGAAGGCGCCTCCTCGTCGTTTTCCTCCTCATCCTCAAGAATCATGGAAAAGCGTCGAAGTCGTTCCTCAGCACCGGAGGCCGCCAGTGAGGCGGAGATCGATTTGGGGAGGGCCGCTGATCGGGATTGGGGCTTTTCGGACTGTTCCACAACAGATTGCAGTTGTGTTTTCTGTTGTAGAATCAAAGTTTGTTCAAGAGCCTTCGCTTGAGCCGAAAGAAGCTTATACTCCTCAATGTAGTTCCTTTTCAGTTTTCTCTCGGCCAAAAGGAAATACGTGGCGGAGATATGAGAGTATTCGTTTCGATCAAGAGCCTGTTGAATCTCATCTACTGTAGCAAGTCCACCGGAGGCCATTTTATTCAAAATCTCCATGTGATCTTCGAATTGAAGATGCTCTTGTGAGATTAGAGGGACTGAAAATAGACCGATTGGTAGCTCCTCACTGGCCATTTGTAGCCACTCGTCTTGAAGCACCTCCTCCAGTGTGGCGCGCTTGGCTGGATCGCGAATGAGTAGACGAGAAATGAGGGAGCAGCACTGGGGCGATAAGTGGGGTGGCAGGTGGTACTCGCAATCCATGATCTTCGTCAGTGTCTCACTATCATTCGCTTCCTCAAAGGGCAACCGACCACAGACGAGCATGAATAGAATCACGCCCAGTGACCATATATCGACTTTTGGAGCGTCATATTTAGTACCAAGGAGTATTTCAGGAGCGGAATAGGCTAGCGAACCACAGAATGTATCCAACTGCTTTCCGGGGACGAATTGATTACTGAAACCAAAATCAGTCAATTTAACAACACCCAGTTGTTCAAAGAAGACAACATTCTCTGGTTTAAGGTCACGATGGACAACATGGAGATTGTGGCAGTAGGAAATGGCGGTGACAATTTGCCTGAAGTAGCGTTTTGCCAGTTTTTCTGACAGCCCATGCTCATGTTTCATGATGTAGTCATAGAGGTCACCTCCATCTCCGAGTTCTAGGATGAGGTAGAGTTTATTTACAGTGTCGATGACCTCGTAGAGCCGAACCACGTTGGGGTGCTGTACGAGTTTCATGCAGACGACCTCTTGAAAGAGATGCTCTCGAGAGGGTGCGTCCAACTTGGTCTTGTCGATCACCTTGACTGCGACTTTTTCACCGGTAAAGACGTGCTGTGCAATCTTGACGACTGCGTAGTGCCCCCGGCCTATAGTGGGTCCGAGATCATAGAGACCTGCGACCTTCGGTTCAATCGCATTGGACTCCTCAAAAAAGCGCTGATAGATGGACATGTGCTAGGGAAAAGAAAATGTCCCGAGTAGAAAAACATCGAACACAACCAGTTTGAGCATTATTTAATCAAACTAATAAAGTGGTATTTTGCACAATAGGATTTGTGCTACCAAAATAATGCACATATCCAACTGGGAGCAAGGGATTGAGTTGCTTTGCTGTTGGCATTGTAACACTACTTTAATCTAGTCAAAGCCACAATTAATCAAGGTCCAAGGTGTGAACAATAGTGTGACAAAAGTTACATGGGAAAATGAATCCTAGAGGAGTCGAGAAGAAACAAAACAACAGCAACGCTGAGACAATACCCGCGTGACAATCTCAAACCATGTGGTGGAGCCTAGCATGTGCAATAATAGCACATGCCAGGTTAATATAGAGTAAGGAAGAAATATTGACAACGGGTTAAGATGCTTTTAAAAAAATTGGAAATCAGTGATATTTTGGTCATATTCCGAGTTCATATCAACGATTACCGTGAAGCAAAACAAAGGTCGAAAGACTATCCCCAGCATGAATAAATGAAGACGTAAAGGGAACAAATAGGGGGAAGAAAACGAAAATAGTCAATCGCGGTCATAAAGAGATAGGTATACTGTAATGCGGATTACGATAGTCAGGAGTATTTCCTAAATGACAAGAGAAAAAAAAAAATTTATTTGGTTTAGGGGGTAAATTCTTTACTAAAGGTTCAATAAGAATACTCCAAATATTCCCAAAAAGTGTACACACACGACGCTCGATGAAGGCAAATTTTGTGAAACAAATTTAGAAGCTAGTGGAAAATAGATGTTTGCTGCATAGTCGGATTACAGCTAGGAGTATTTATAAATGCGTTTCTTGAGTGCCAACACCATTTGGTAGGGTGGACCTTGATGCGACCAAATATGCAGAATGACTACAAACAGGATGTGAAAAGATGACAACTGATGGAAGCTAACCGAATGCTTGAATTCAGTGAGGAGATGAAATAGAAGGCTTGAAGCGATGCGTTGGAGGCGGAAAGTTACACATACCCCCCTCGTAGGCCCCAAAACGTTTAGCGCGCACGCTGCGGAGATGGCACGGGTCGAAGGGTGAATCATGCAGAGCCATTAGCCGTCGTTTCTTGACCTATCATAGCTTCGCTTCTGTGCTACTACTACGGTACCGGAATCAGAGATAACTTTGCTGGTAAGGTCACGCACCGTCTTGTTTATTCATCCGGGTCAGTCGTTTTTTTTTTTTTTTTGGTCGGAGAGTGTGGAAGAAGAAAATTAATAAGGAACAGAATTTAGCTCTACACACGGTATGCACTATGACCATCATCACTAGGATTTCCCCGTTTCGGCACTGAAGGTAAGTGCATTTTCGACATTTTCCATTTGACTGGACAAAACCGATAGAAACAGGCCAAGTATAACTAGAGCTTACTTTCATGCTCTTGTTTTGCTAGTAATTCGGAATATCTAACACAATCGACAGGGCTTTGTGTTGAGACAAGGCAAATAATCTGCCAAACCTAGTTCAAATAAGTAGAACAATACCTTACAATGATTGATATGGCAAGGAGAAAGTAACAGAACAGAATGCATTCATGCACAACTCCAAATGAATTTCTTCAACGGAAAGACAAGATTTGTGCATGAAGCATAAGGAAATGATGTTACTCCCACACCAACAACAGCAATGGTTAATTTGGACGTACACCCAAAATTACCAACAAATAAACGGTGAAATGCAAAATGCATCGGCTGCGGCAAGCCCCCCAATCCAGGCAAAGAGGGCTGTAAGAGCCTATGAGTTTGAGCACTTCTCCATACAGAAAAAGGGTGCTTACATTACGAGCTTTAAATCGGCCATCGGAAGATAAGGCTCATCTGGTGCAATGAAAGAGAAGCCCTAATCAGCACTTGCTTACTCACTAGTTAGCAACTCCTATTGATAAAATATGCAAGTGAATCAACAAACGAGTCTTAAGATCACAGTTGGATCAGATAGCTATTAGCTCATACTGTAATTATAGGAGTAGAAAGATTGGCGATCATTTCCCCGAAACGGAGCGTACTACAATGGTAAATACAAACCTAAACCAGAGTGATGTATTTGGCGTTGGAAAGGATTGTCCGAATAACAACAATCATGGTTGATGAAAAAAACTGGAGAATGTAATACGCGGTCCTGGGTGCCGCAATTTGGTAAAACGAGTGATCATTGTGGCTTAGATAAGAATAACTTCTACTTTCCAAAAAAAGCTTGTGTGACCTTACTATGACTCACCACCTTTAAATCTACGTCAGGAATGAAGTAAAACCTAGTGAAGGTAATGCAACACCACACCCTAACCTGATGCTGAACCTAAATTAATCATGTGGCAATGGTGAAAAAAAGACTTTACTGTCTTGAGACAAAGCTATGAACCTCGTTATTCGAAATGTCCAATAATTAAAAGACATTACACCCCACGAGGAAAAGTGAAAAGCAGTGTTAGGGGGGGGGACAAATTGCTGTGTAAAATATGTATTTTTCATAGTTCGAATCGCATCGCGGATTGTCTGCCGAACCCGTCGTTCATACTGCGCCCAAATTAGTGAGACTTGACTTTGTCCGTCAATTTTCACTTGCAACATACATTTTCATCACATCATGCTACTATTCAAGACCCAGTACATTTAAAATCGCAGAAGTCGAGAAAAACGTTCATTCGGTGCAATTGTTCACTTCAGCCTGATTGATGAATTAAGGATCCGTCGTCCGTATACACGACCCGAATTTTCGAGCCTTTACAATGCGACGATGAGTGACTGGTCACCTGGAGAACGAGACACCGCTTCTGTCATGAAGGGTTTTGGCTCAGTTCCAAATGGGCTCACCCGTGATAGTGCCACGCCAAAATATGGGGGCGCTAAGTGACACTCCCACCCCCACGCACACCTTTAATTAATTGTAGTTGAGATAAGTTGGCGCCCCGCAGTTACATAAACACGGACACATGCACTTATCAGTCCGCTTTGTCCACATACTTCCAACCATGGAGATACAAAAATATGAACGACCTATGAACAACGGTTTCAAACATATGCACAAAGAAGTCGCCCATATCTGATAGTTGTTTATGTTCTATCCTGAAGGTAGACGATATGGCGCAATTCATAATGATCATTTAGATGTTCCGGTAAGGAGTGTCATCCAGACGCATTACACAAAACTCGAGTCGAATGAATACAACTTTGTACTTTGAGCAATGCCATCAATCAACGTGACATAAGTCGGCAAATGAAGGGAGGAGAACTTAAGAGAATGCTCGACCAGGTGGAATAAATTCAGCACACTCGAAACCGCGGGCAGTAAAGGACCGAGAAAACAGCCTGTCAAATCCCACCCAGTGGTAGAGAGGGGTAAAAGGGCATAGAGGAACAACCAAAATATGGGCAGTGTTGAGCCATTTTGAACAGCACAGACGTAAAAAATCACATAAACAGTAGCTCGATTAATCACACAAATGTCAAGCTCAAAGCTCAGTGGTGCCTTGTCCCAAAAAACAACAAGGAGTTTTACTCGCCTTGCGGTGGGAGAATAACTGGGAGGGAACGTTCTGACGCGGTGGTAAACAGACGTCCAACCAGGGCACAGTCGCACTGACAAAAAGGCGGGCTTCGGCACAGCCCGGGTACAGTTTTAAAGAGCCATAGTAGTTGGTCCAATGCGGCATTAAAAAAATGAACTACTAGTGTTGTTGGCATGTTGACACTTCAAGGACAGACAGACAGACACGATGCACGCGTCCCCATCACGTGACTGCCACCGCTATGTCGCCCGCTGGCAAGTGGGCGCTCAGTATTAGCAGTCATGCTATCGAGCTGGTTTAGTTGGAATTCGGCCTCTATGCCAAACCACATTTGGGTTTGTATTAAAAGCAATTTCATTCGTTAAGATATCAGAGGGGCACCTCAGAAAATGAATTAACAAAGCATCGTACGATCGTGACAACAAGCTGCTTCAACTTCTTGAAGGGTATCCAACAGCTCTGAGCTCTTGCGACGACTAATGTAATCTAACCATCGCGTTCTGGTTTTAAGGGAAGAAAAAAAACAATATGTATCGGAGGCCGTGAAAAAATCAGAAATTCGTTCCCCGGGCGCTTGGATTATGGGTACCACTTGGGTTGGGTGCAGAAGAACTGCAGTACAAGTGACACCAAGAGAGAAATTGCATAATTGATGACGTCGAACATCCAACCAACAGTAAGCGAATTTATGATGATAAAAAGTACAACCTTTTAAAGAAAAAACGCTCAGACATGTTAAAATGGCAATTTGAAGTTGTGATAGGTTCAGTGAGTGCCAGAAATGAAGCGCAGTAATCACTCACATGCCTCGGAAGCGTGGGTTGATTCATTTGGCGCCACAGGAAAATGGATTGCTGAATGGACAATAAACAACTAAATCGATATTACTACATTAAGAAACTGAAGAGTCTTTTGGTGAAATCCCCGGGAGGTGGCATATCGAAAGGGGTATACTCTGCACCTGGAAGTTGAGAAGGATAAAGCACGGGTAGTTGACACACGTCGCTAAAAATGTCAGAGCCAGCGCAAGGCAGCCGAAAGTCTCGTGAAGGAAGGTTTACAAACACCTCTCTGCATGCATTACGCACTACATCACGAAGTCCCACACCAAGTAAAGTGTGTCAGATTCACTTCCGACTTCGGCTGTCAGAATGAAAGCGCAAAAAGTCGAGGGTGGGACATCGCCTGAGCGCAATCAGGCTATTTCTGAGGCTGAAAAAGCACCGACTTAGTGTACACTTGTAAGCGAAAATGGACGTTCAGATGTAAAGGTAGGGGTGCACGAGTGTTTACAAGACCACAAACTTATCGTGTGCAAGGGTCACACTAACCCAGCTAACCGCGAGAAAACTATTTACACATGAAATAGCAATTTAACTAAACATTAGTGGACCAAAATATCGCGCAAAATTACCTAGGGTAAGCACCATGACTAGAGTAAGCATGAAATAGGCGCATCTGGAAGCACTAAGATGGACCGAGACAGACGGAAACGCCTGCATGATAAAAAGGAAAAAAAAAACACCTGGAATTTCAAGTAAATTACAATGGTTTCAGAAAATCGAAAAAAAGAGCGATGACTTACAAGGAATTTAGTAGACTTGACAGACCTATAACCCTGTCATTGGCAGGAAAATGCGCAAGCCTACAAGAAAACAGAACCCCATCATTTGTCATTCGACATTTAAGAGTGATCTACCCTGAGCAAACAACTAAAAAATTCTCACAAATAAAACGTCGCTCCTAAACAAACAATATTCGGCACGGTGATAAAAGGGTTTCGACAATTTTTTGCCAGGGTACGCTAATCCAACGAATGAAAGAGAACATAAGGCCAACTTAATTTAATCCATAAAAGGCCCAAGATAAAGCGATATGATTTTTTCGGCAAGGTATTATTTTCCTGCCAAAACTAGGGCTAGTCCAGGCGAAAATCAGCGCCAACAAACAGCAATGCATACCCAGTTTGTCAGAAACACAGCGAGTTTCAAAAGAAAAAGAGCTCACGCTCCTCCAAATCATCACGTAGAGGGGGATAGCGTTTGACTGCGAGGCACTGGAAAAGTGGAAGGGGAACGAGTCAAACGTCTGAGATCTGTCAGCAACAGAAAGTGAATTTAAATGGGACTGTCGGGACAATTACGACATTGCAACCAGAGACATTGGCAGTGTAGAGTTGGGTGGTGAAGAGCCCCAAAAGAAGGCCTGAAATTCCCTTCAGCATATTTCATTTAAACAGACAGAGAGGTTTGGTCGAAGTAAGGCCAGTGAGGGGAGCAAGAAAGGAGGAAGGGGGCAGATAGTCGGGCAGGTAATACTTGCGAGATTGTACATGCAAGAAAAACCCACCACCCAGACTGCCAAAAATAAATTGCTATGGCAGTTAGCCAAGGTGGGGAAAACCTAACAAAATCCTTAATAAGAATAGCACAATCACTAAGGTACACCTTTAGAATGACTACCGCACGGTGCATGCTTGTAGGGGAAATTATACAAGAACAAATAAAACAAAGTGCATACCAAAAGTGCCACCAACAAAACCCAAAATCCTAAGTGAAAACCCAACAAGATTTAACGGACGCAAGAAGTTTTAGCCATTGAAAGCAGCAAGTAAATGAGTGAGCGTAACCAAAGGAAGTGGTAGCAACCACTGGAGTAAAAAGCAAACCTTGCTGACAGCTGAGAGACTATTCCAAAATTTAAGAAAGTGGGAAACCGACTAATTTACCCACTACAGATTGTAAAACAACTGTTTCAGTCAAGTCACTGAATTTTTAGGAAAACTTTCAGCGGAAGATTAAGAGCCTATTTACAAATCTTCACTCAGATTATCCCAGACTTAATGGGAAGAGCATAATAGTTGGTTCCAATTAAACGGTTTTATGATCACAATTTTATGAAAGTTGGTTTCAGGTAAAAAGCCCAACAATAATTTCGCCATCAGACCTGGTCTAAATGCATCGTTGATTCCTCCAATTTGTAAAACCGATTAACTTTCACAAACTAAGTCAAACACAACCTCACATGTTTTCAAAAGAGGTGCATTGGTAGGTGAAGTGGACAATGGAATAGATGATTCGCCCAGAGAAGCAACCGCAGCAAATCAAATAAATCCAAGTTTTAGCAAAAATACTTCACATTCAAAACCGGCAGAACACTTGCACTTGGGAAGAATAGATAACAATTACGCAGGATACGGTGGGAACACGGGTGGCCTATATGCAAATGCCGACGAAAGAAGGCACATATTAATGGCATAACAGATGAGCAGCTAAGAGCACTCAAAATCTGCTAAGTTGATTAAAATAGATTCTTTCGGCCATAACCAGAAGCCGTGGCACGACAACCAATTAGGCGTTAAACTACTAGAGCAGACGCGGTGCGCTACGACCAGAGTGGGAAATACGCCGGGCACCTACCTGGCTAAGAACCGCCCAAACGCCACTTTGCTACCCTTGTCCAAAGCCTACTAAGGGAATACACATGGATTATTGTGTCAGCATGTAGAAAGTTAAATGAATGCCACAACGGCCGCACCAGCTCAACGGTCAAAGACAGTGAAGGGGGAGCCGTTTTGCCACGAAAATAAATCACGAGCATGGTTCACTTGCGAAAAAGAAAATTGGGACGAAAGCCTAAGGCGCCCACCGGTGACACGGATCCACCTTTGACACGGTCATAGACTGAAATTGTAGCACTATGCATTGATCCTTAAAAAACCCTTTTTTGATAACGCACCCCATGTTCACGTGTCTGTAGGTGACGCATATGACGAAGGGTCCTGTGTATTCGGGAAACTACAGAAATTAGATGTTGACGCTACATGAGAAGGGTTTCCAGAACACTGTGATATTTAATCAGTCATTGCATTTTGATATTTTATTTCCAACATCTTCCACTGAAGCACCAGGGACGTAAGCACTTCATCATGGTAGTACGGTCAGCCCATTGGAGAAAGGTGGCAATAGACTCAGGAATGATCATGAGTTGAATAGATGCGGAACTTGACCATCGAATGTGACATTTGTTGGGAAAGGGATCAGACATGCATATGAAAAGTAATGAATGAACCAGAGCACCACATAAGTAAAACATATTTCCAGCACAATAGAAGCCTCTGATCAAGAAAAATCCAAAAAATTAAGGAATTCGTACACTAGGGGGCACAGCGGACACCTGTTAGTACAGATGTTCTAAACTACGGAATCGGAAAGCATTCAATTATTCGAAATGGTCGGCATATTTGCATGTACCTTCATAAAGACGCAAATTGGCATAGCAAGACATCTTCATCAAAAAGTTGATCACTATGTGGTCCGCCGTCACACGGCGTGGGCTAGTAGTGATGCAAAATTACCCATTCAGTACGTAACGGAAAAGTTAAGTGAGAAAGAGCAATTCTGGGTTCACTGCATTTTACCGATGATGTTAGACCTCAAATAACAAATGGGAAGGTGTGGTTGGCTAACTTGTATAGTTTTTGAGGTTGTCTCAAACAGAAATAAATTCATAATGCAGACGACGCATTCAAAGCTGGTGGTTTGGGGACAAAATTAACATGAAGAGCAAGCATCATGTGCCTTGTCGAGTCCTCGTACTACAAAAAGGTTGGCTAAGTCATAAAAGGGAGTGACAGATAAAATAGCGAGATGTGCGGTGACGAAGTGGCGCGTAAGGGTCGTCGCTGAGCTCATTACTAGCTCAATGAATGTAATCATTTCTGACAAATATGGTACCTCATGGTGCTCGTTTCAATATGCCAGGGAAAAACTACCATAAGAGCCAGTCACAGGGACTGGCAGAGAGCAATACTTTATAAACAGGTACTCTTACAATGTTGACAGAGCAGCCTGTTTGTGAAGTATGGTACCTTAAGGACACTCAAACAGGAGAACCTTGTTTACATGCATAGTATGTGAACTAAACGCCATACGACGAAAATTTCACTCTTAAGGGGAACTATCGGAGGTAATTTCAAGCCAGTAATAAGGACTAAATAGCAAAGTGAACAAGACGATCCAGAATAAGGAAAACTAATGGATTTGAACAAGAGAACCGGTGCCCAAAATACTAAAAATGAAGAAATGCCTGCAAATTTGGAAGTAGATCCACATGCCTAACCTTTCGGAATACATCACAATATGATGGATTTTCAAAATGAATTTGAATAGCAATGCAAGATAGATATGGTAGCGTATCTTAAATTTAGTGAAAAAAAGCAATCACGAATGAGAAATACATGAACGCGGGACCTCACGCTTAGCAACATTGAGGCATCGATAGAGATTTTGGAGATACCTGGAGGAGTATCCAACTGCATAACACTAAAATAACGATTGGGTGGTCAGCGTTTAAATGAAAGGCAGTCTTTTGATTTTGAGAGAGAAGTTGGTAGCCCCTTAACGAGCGACTAAATAAACCCAAAATGAACTGAGCGTTGTGGATTAAAACAGATGGATGTCGCACCACTGTTTCAAGTTATGTGAAGTAGGAAGGTTGTAAAGTAGGTTTAGAAAGGACGTAAAAGAATAGCTTGTTGCACAAGATGTCATGTGCGAAGTGTGTGCCGGTGCAGTAGCCGGTGACTTGACCCGCCGTTGGTCAACTGAGGTAAAAAGATCCGTTTGTGCACAGTGCGGCCATGTTAAAGAGTAACAAGTGGCTCAGACACTTGCATAGCAAGATTTTGAGATAGATGAATTCGGATGTGAGTAATAGTGTGGAGAGTCGCATAAATGTAGTTCAGCCCGCTAGGAAACAGTAATGACTCTACAAAAGTAACAGCGCCTGTAAGGTGTTAATATCGCCAACTTCAGAGCAAAATAAACCAAATTCTCCCTTAAGCTATATAGAACTTTGATACAATGAAAGGAGCACGAAAATGAGAAGCCTGAGTCCACTTCTTTTCTTTTTTTAGAAAAATGCAGAAAGCATATCAGACGACAAAATAATTGAATAGAAGTCGGCCCATTGGGGGATAAAGGGTGATAGTTGAGAATACAAAATTTAGGAAATTCTTAAAGTCAATTAATAGGACCGGTTAAAATCACTATCACCATACCAAAAGTTCAAATTTCGTGCAGAAATCACAGCATTAGAGAACATAGGCTAGGTAAGATCTTTTAGGGTAAGTGAATACATGGTTCAGGCGTTGAAGAGAACGCAAATACACTCATACCGTTTTAATATAAGACGTTTGGAGAGTATACATCGAGGCAAGCAATGGTGACGGAAAACCCAAAAGCATACGTCGTATGCTACTTTGGTAACAAAACTACCCGCTACAAATGAATCCCATTTCCCTTTAGGAAATAATAGAAATCGATTACAACGTAATGTGTACCCCTAAAAGCTCGATTAAGCACCAGAAAATCGCAGGCGGTTTGGGATGTAGACTCCTATTGCAGCACCAACACTTCAAACTGAGTAGTAGTTATGCGTGACAACCAAGAAACGTAGAACTATAAATGCATTAAATTAATAGTTTCATAACGTGCAAATACAGTCGTAGTAACAAGCTTGGCACAATCAATCAGTTTAAGCATTGCATATGAAAACGCAACCCGTATTTCTCAGAAAGTGGAGGAAGAACTGGTTACCGAACAAAAAAATGAGGAGAGATACTTAAGAGTAAGAGAAGATTGCATTAGAGAAACGAAATTGGTGCCAAAACAGTACTAAGTAAGCTGTATATCTAAATTCAATGGCACAACCGTACAGTCCAGTGGAAAATAGGACAAATTGATGACATTCTGATACATAGTAAGGACAAACATTGTAGAATACATCATTGCCAATTATTTTCGGACATTTAAGCACATCATTTCATCCACAGATCAAGGTAGTAATACAATCCACATATACATATATTCGTATGCATCATGCATTAAATTCTCGTAATCATTTTCAGGGATGTAAACGAAATGGCTGGGAAGCACAACTAACGGTAATAAATATCAAGTCCTCACACAAAAGGCATTCACGAAATCAGTTTCGAAATAGCAGTAGAACACATATTTGAAAGTGTGTTCAAGGAGGTCAAATGCCTACAAAAAATCTGGACAAAGTATGTGAAACTCGCATCAAAATAAAAACAAATTCTATAACAACGCACGGGGCAAATATAACTATAAAATACAAATAGGGCTGATATACTAAGAGAGTATAGGCGCATTTAAGTCTAAACATATTTTCAAAAAAACCCACACAGGCGCGTAGTATAGCCATTTACGTAACGAAAAAGGCATTGGTAAAACAATAAACTTACAGGATTTGAACGTACTTTAGACGGTTATTGAAAGGAGGTGATGAGTAAAGGGGTGCATGGTACAATTCAGTTGCGCAGACGAGATTGAAGTCCTTGAAATAACGGGACAAACCGGTTTAAAAAAGCACGGAGGATGCAAATAGAGCGCAAAAACTCGTTGTTGCGCCACACAAAATACAGCAATCGAGAGACACATAACAAAAGGCTACTAAACGCATTATTGACAAGCGCACTTGTGATAATCGGCCGGCCAATCGGTACAAGAAGTGCTGATAAACACAGCCAGATCACGATCGGCAGACCCATACGAACATGGCGGGTTGATTGTAGGGTGAAGGTCACTTATTAAGTGTTAAATGAAAGGTTTGGTATATTATAATAAAACGCCAGATAAACATTAGACAACTGAAACCAAGCCTTTTGGCTCAAAAGATAAAAAAATTAGAAATAAAAATTAGAAGTATACAAGTATGCCTTTTTACTAAAATAGGCCATTCCATCCGAGCTTGCCGAGACTCCTCTCAAAACAGTGGAAAGCATGGTACTCAGTAACGATGTATGCATGATTAACGGTGGGACCAAGGCTGTTGACATGGTCATGGGTCTAGGCTATCTATTACTAAGACCTAAAATTAGCAACCGCCGCATTTCAGAAAACCCATGGAATAATGCTATTGAATCCAGCTAAGAAACCCATTCGCATGCTCCATGTAGCCAATGCAAAACCGCTTTGTGGAATTTTTGCAATCGAGTTAGCATTCATGTAATTACCCTTTTAGTTCATTGTATATATATCAATCGCAAACCGCGGTGCCGTAGCGTATATGGATTTGGTTGTTATTAGCTTCATTAATGAATATGAGTTAAAATAAACCTGCCTCTTCCTTTTTTCGAAAGTATTTTTTCTGCAAAGAGGCATGTAGATTTTTTTAGGAACAAAAGTAGGTAGTTTTATATCTTCTAATCCTTGTTTGATCTACCTTCGATGGTGCATTTATAACTTTTTGTAGTCAAAGAGTTTTCCTGGTTTCTTTAAGCTTCGACAAATTTAAAATGAAGCATGATGACGCAAAAAAAACAACGGAATTTTGAAACACTTTAACTTCAGATTGATGCTCGTATTTGCCTCCGTCCATTTGTTTAAACCATCAGTTCACTATGATGGCTGATAAGGTTGAGGGGAAGCTGTGTGATTACGGTTCCTCCATGGATGTACGTCTTTAAAATGGTTATTTTTTGCGTTTTAATCAGTTCTATGGGGTCCATCACCTTAGTTGTCATACACAGTATTTGGGTGTTCTGGGGGGTGGTCGTGATTTAATTTTGTCAGTTACAAATTGCGAGTTTGCGTTTTCTTTTATAGGAGTCAGGCGACGAGGTTCGTAGGATTTTTGAGTCACAGGCACGTGATCCGAAGGTTGTAATTATTAAAACTGTTTCTGCTGCCATTGTGCCACTCCATGTAGCACTTTTCTTATTTTATTTAGGAGACCACATCATCAAGCTCGTCGCCCACTTCTAGTGGTGTTCAAAGTGATGAAAAAGATACCTCCCCAAAGGTAGATTCCAAAATGCCTCGGCAGTATTGTGAAGACATTCATGATTTTTCATGTGGAGGCTCCTCTTCGAGACGGTATGTCTATCTGCATAAGCACGCTCACATCATCTTTTGTGCCTTGAATTTGCACTGAAATGCGAAGTATTATGCATTTAACACCCATAATTCGTAGGTTTTTTGCTATTAATGTACACAGGGTTCTTGGTTATTTGATGTACTTTGCAATTCTAGAACCTCTCTCACACGCCTCTGTTTTGTTATTGTTCCAAATATCCAGTAATCCCTCTGTTTAGCTCAAAGCATGGGCGAAGCAGTCGGCGTGATCGCCGCTCCCGAAGTCGTAGTTGTGAACGCAGTCGTAGGTCGTACCGAAGACGGGATCGTAGTCGTGAGCATCGGGGTGATCACGACCATCATTCTCATCGGAGGCGTCGCAATTATGGTCGCGAAGTCATCCGTCGAAGACGAAGAGAGGACAAAAGGCGTAGGTCTTCATCGTCATCCTCCCCATCCGATGGCAGGCGAGCTCGTCACTCATCAAGACACGGAAGAGAACGAGAGACGGCTTTCTCTCGAAAAATTATTGGTTCGCGATCTGAGCTCGCAAAAGTACGCTATCTTAAAAATCATAGTTTTTGTTCACAACATCCTTTGCACTTATAAAATTATGGTTCCATTAGTAAGGTATTCCCGGTTTATTTTTTTCACACCATAGGTTCAGGAAGCTGTTAGGCCGGTTGATCCTATAGCAGCAAAACTAGAAGCTGTGAACAAAGCATCTGCGATCATGGCGTCCGCAGTGAAACCGAGTATGTTCATTCCCTATTCTCAGTGCTCAGCATTCAGTGAAGCCCAGCTACTGCCACTCAGTAGGACGGCTTTTTAATGGCTTTTCCCACCAGGCTTCGGTGCGCACTTTAAAGACTTGCTATTCTTAAACCTCTACTTATTGGCATTGGTTTTCTAGGTGAAAGTACACCTCAGGAGGTTCTCGCACGCATACAGGCGACGCAAATGACGCAGGTTCGTGCAAAGGCAGAGGCCGCGGCAGCTGCTGCAAACTTACCGAGCTTCTATAATCCAATGTCAGTGAATGCTGCCAAACTCGCCGAACAGCAGCAGAAACGGAAACTTCTCTGGTCCAGGAAATCCGATCCGGTGGCTGAGGCAAAAGAGGTGAGTCTCCCTTCTGCATGACCAGTTTTGTTGTGTAATAATAGTAACGACATGTCACATGTGCGTGTACCTACTCTCTCCGAAAAAAAATGAGAGCGAGATCACTAAGGGTTCGTCCCCTTGCGCTTACATTTATTTTCAAGCGGATACCGTCAAGCGGCTAGAGTTGACGGCCAGCGATGAGCCTAGCACTGCTACAGCACCCCCGCTTCAGCCATGGACTTGAGAGGTCTCCTTTGTGGACGATCGTCGATGTGTTCTTTTTCAAGGAATGTACGATAAGTCCCGTTTTGCCTTCTTTTTAAGAAGCAGGGAATACCATTTTATGTTCTTCAATAAAAATAGGGAGCTTAAAACCGAGTTCCGAATTGGATTTTAAAATAAATCTGCCTCTTGATCGAAATAACTTTCGAGCATGTCAACTGCTGAGACTGAAAAGTGCATTTGCAAAGGTGACGATCATTACAAAAAATCAAATTCGGAATTCGAATTTGGTTTGCTGAAATCGGCTGGTAACGAATTGTGTCACTTGCTACTACCGCTAAATTCTTTTTTTAATTTAAGGAGGCTAAGTCAACGATGTGGAAGAAGACCTCGATGGTTGCGGGAAAAGGCGATTCCGCTGCTGCCGCGAAATTTCGCAAACTCATGGGGATCCACGATGACAATAGTAACGGTGCAGAGGGTGCACCTTTGGACGAGGCCTTGAACCAAGCTCGAGAACAAGCGGACCTTTTCAGGAATCTGGAGCATGAGTTCGAGACGTCACGCACTCTGACGCACACACAGCGAGGCGTTGGCTTGGGATACTCCTCGGCGATGACCGACTATAGGACGTATGCCGCCATGAAACAGACTGGTGGCGGCGCGCAACAGGAGGGGAAATGATTTTGTCCCGGTCTTCTTATTTGTACATAATTTATTGTCGATGGCATTTGCCTGAGCATGATGTACGTTTGTCGAGAAACTGTTGTGGAACGGCTTGTTTGCTAACTAGGGTTATTGTAAAGGTATATCCTTGTTTTTAACTTGGGTTTACATAATGCGCTAGCCGACAGCTTGTGACGTCTGCTTTGCATACTTAACAGCGTATGCATGGGGACCCACTGACTCCGCCCACTCGAACCGCGTCCTGTTTACAAATGGAGTTATATTTTGATAAGGGAAGGCGTACCCTGCGGAACGGGGGGTATTTACAAGGATGGGATTACCGACCACTTAGCGGCCTCTCTTGCCGCTTTTCTTCCCACCTCGCTTCGTTGCGGCCCTGGCTCTTCCTCGGAGGTCTGACTTCATGCGTCGGTCAACGAGCTTAATCTTGGCACCACGGGGAATCGGCTGAGATTTGCTGCGTGCACCTGCCTTCGTGTTCACAATGTAGGATATGGGTCGTCGCTTCTTCTTCAGGAGACCCGCGTTCTTGTACATTCTAAAAGGGGCGGGAGTTTATTAACGAACGCCTAGCGATTTCCTCCAAAAGGATGTTAGAGGTTTGGAGATCAAAGGCTGGAATCCAAGACTTTCGTTTAGTATGGAGAATGTGCGTACATGTACGGAGGTAATCGGTTTGCGCTAGATTACCACACCTTAGGAAGAACAAAATAATTGACATGGGCCCTAGTACATAGTAGAGCTTCAAGTCTACAGAGTTATTTCTTAATGAGGTAAAACCACAGGAATCCGTTAGCTTCACAGCGAACTAGGGAGTGAGGAGGGTGCTTACGCTTTCATTCTGCTCCAGGCCTCTTTCTTGGTGAGGTCATCTGGCAGATTTTCGGCACGTTTGCGAACTCGGGCGAGACGCTTGGCCAATTTCATTTTCTTTCGCGCTTTTGCCTCCTCCGCCTTTTTCAATGTTTTGCCCTGGATCGGTCTGTCAGTCAGAATTTTAGGCTGTAGAGGTAAGGAAAGTGGTAACTTGGTACGCGATTCACAAAGTGATATAATGAACGGAAACTACGGATATGCCTGTCATTTGACGCCTACTAGACCAGAAGACAGTTAATCGGAAATAAGGTATGACAACTACACCATAAATGACTGTACGCAGCAATGTTAGAAAAGTAATATGGATGGGAGTGGTAGTAAGGCTGATATAAGACATACTTCCTCGAGAGGTGGGGCCTTCCGCATATACTTCTTTTCCTCATTGACAAACCAGTCGGGAAGATTCGCCTCTTCTTCAAAGAATCGATAACGATGGAAGTTCCACTCAAGAAGATCGCGACGACTTTTTGCCGACTGAATCAGTTGTGTGGCCAGTGCCCTTTCCTCTGCGGTAAGAGGGCGCCGAAGACGTCGCAGTTTCTTTTTCTTCAACCCTATTATAGCAAAAACAGATGGATTTTAAAGTATATGCACAACCGTTACTTCGGAAAATCACCCAGGAGCATATTTTGACACGCAAAAATGAGCGTAAAAAAGGGTGGTAAACTCAAACCAAATATTACCACATTAATTGGTAACTCTGGTGCACATGAACCATCATCCAATGTAAAGCTGAAGCATTCCAAGAACGAAGATTGCATTGAAGTGGTAAGACTGAGTTGGACTTACGAGGTCGAGCTGCCTCCTCGCCATCAGTGGAAGACGTGTCGGATGACAATTCATTCTCATCAGACCCATCGACAGCTCGCTCCACCTCCTGTTCCTTCGCAGAACTGCTAGCAGCGTCATCAGCAAAAGTGACTCGCTTCTTGGGGCTTGGATTCAACTTTTGCTTTTTGAGATTAGGCTCCTTTGACCTCTCCTTATCGCTACCAGACTCGTCAACATCCATCAGCTCCTGAATTAATGCAGACGATTACGTAGTTAGAAATAGAAAGGACGATGTGGGAAACAACTGAAGGCTCCAACTACACCAACGATCAAGGAGTGAGCTATACAAATACAATACAAATAATCAGTCTTAAAAATATGCAGATGGAATAGATTGGAAACAAAAAATACGTGCCATGAGAGTCACGAACAAATGCGCAATAAACTAGTACGACCATTGGAAGTTCTTGATTAAGCAGTAAATAACTTACCTTTAATTCGGTCGAAATACACCAAGCCTCAATTTTCCTATCCCTCTTATTTTCCTCGTCAGTAGGATCGAGGTCGATGAGGAGAGAGGGCCCACTTTTCTTCTTTTTTAAAGAAGCCTCTTTGACCAACGCTTTGGCATATTCGTCTTCTTCCTCTGAAGCCTCATACGAATCCAGATCCTCACGCTCATCACTGGCGCTACGATTGTCGCCACTACCGAGAGCGAGCTCTCCACGTTTATCTTCATCAACGTTATCATCACTATCTTTACCACCATCTTCATCATCGCTGGAGCTCAGATAGATGTCATCATGCTCATGTGTGTTAGTAGCTGGATGGAAAAACAACTCGAGATCAGGTTAGCCACGTGAATGGTAAGCAAAAAAGCATAGTAGAGAAAGACAACTTACGTCGAGTGGATTCTAGAACGCCCAAGTCAATCTCGTGTTCAGTATTGCGTTCGAAGCGCAAGTACTCTCCGCCCTCTACGGCACGGCGGAAATCTTCCTCCCGCTTGCGAAGTATTTCACGTTTAGCGGCCTTCTCTTTCTTCAAAATGAACAGATCCGCGGCTGAGTGCCCTGTCTTTTCAAGTAGATCTTTCTCCACACTTTCCAAGCTTTCAAGATCCCGTCCACCGATCGAAGCTAAGGAGAAAAGTTCCCCCGCGCTGTTTTGTTCTATTATATCACCTGGATGCTCCATTTTGAGAACTATACGCTCAGCAAGCTTGCGCTTCGCCTTCCGAACAGCCCTGAGACGCCTGGAGGAACAAGATCGTTAAAGGTACTACGACAAATTCCAACAATCCTGTCTTAGTCGAACAATATATTTCAAACAAATACTATACCAGCGCTTCAGTCGCCACAGTTTTGCTAAACCTTTGGTAGCACGAGCACCTACATGTCTACAGTCTGATCTTTTTCCCTCCCAGAAAATAAATCGTTGCAGTAGTTCCATATGCTTTATTACGCCTTCAATGGTGACCCGAGAGACATTTAAAGAGCTTGCTATAAACAAACACGTCTGATTACATAAAAAGAAGAGGCCCCTAAAACCCTGGAGAGATTAGCTTCCACTATTCGGAACAGCTTATTAAAAATTTGCCAATATATATATGACGTTACATTTTTCAAGCGAAGCAATTATTTAGGTTCAAATGTAACCCACTTTTTAGTAGTTTTTTGCTCTTCCTTTAAGAGACGCTCAACCTCGCGTTGTGTATCCTCCTCTTCCTCAGCCTCATCAACCTTCAATTGAGGTTCTTTCTCATCTCTTAACAAAAAAACAGGTCATTATTTAGAGACACTATTAAAAACACTATGGCCATTACTCACTTTGACAAAGTAGCTTCTTTCTCAGCGTTCAAAGCAGCCAGCAGTTTTCTTCGCCACGCAAGCAGCATCCTGTATGGAAAATACCTAATTTTTGGGATTGCGCGTTACCTTATGTCAGCTTTGCCTAACACCTGAATATCCGCCAAGCATTCTGCAACAAACGAAGGCGTCAGCGGATGACTAATAAGATCTTCACGATCAATTATAACCTAAAAGGTTATAGGTGTTAAAACACCAACAAACCTTGTTTGTCTTAGCCAAGCAGTTAAGGGGATCGTCCGATTCCATGAACTCAGATAACAGTGTTTCTTTGTATAACTTATCATCATCATATCCCTCGGCTTTCCTAAAAGTGGGGGACAACGCTGAATAACTGAAGTACATGGCGAAAAAGTTGTCAACACTATTAAGATATTAAAATTTCCAGCCACGAATAAGTACTATTAAAAAAAATCAAATGCAGTTGATAAATATGAGTAAAACGCATACTTCTTTTTGTTTGTTAGTTTAAGGAGGGAAGAGACCACAGATTCACGAGATTTGGACACTTCTATCTCGCCGAATACGTGTTTTGGATCAAGAAATTTGGGGTCAATTGAAGAAGGATCCAAGTAACCCTGACCAACAAGAAAGATTTCTGCTGATTCTTGACGAGAGGCTTCGGGCTTCAGAACTCTGACTTTACGAAAGAATTGGGAAACAGCCCATTTGAGAGGTTCATAATCACGACTTCTAAAGACCTTCGTGATAAACCAGCCACCTTTACGCAAAAACTCGGTGGCTAACGCAAATGCCTTCAAACATAGAGCGGCTAATTACAATTACTAAACCACAAAACAAAAACCTTGGCTATATTCATCAACGGTCCATGCCGTCCCAACATTTGGAGCACCGTCATGTAGAACAACATCAGCTTTGTTGTTAAAAATTGCGGCTCTGAGTAACTAAATGCATAACTCATGAATGAAGACTAAATGTTACCTGACGACATTTTTCTGTGGTAATATCGGCAACAATGGATTTGCAGTTGGGTATAGGCATGATTGGCACCAAATCGACACCAATAACAAGACTTCCCACAGGCATTTCCTTTGCAGCAACCTGCATCCAGCCACCAGGTGCCGCACAAAGATCGATCAGAACTTTGGATGAAGCAAGAAAATTAAACCGACGATTTAATTGAATCAGTTTGAAGGCTGATCTTGCTCTAAGTCCTACAGAATATGTTTGCACTGTCAGATGTCACCTGTTTCTTTGGCCAGAAAGTAGAACTTATCCTTCCGACTCTTCCCATGTTTCGTCTTTTTACCCATTCCCAAAAACGTGCAGAGGGTGTCGAAGGGCCCGCCTAAGAGACGCCGGTTAAAACCACTAAAAGGTGGATGTGTATAGAATTGCCCAAAAAGGTAAAATTTAAGTATAACAAAAGGATTTCCTAGATTAAAGAAAAAGTTCTATTGTAGGCAAACCTGTAAACGTGTATGAAATTCTGTGATTAATGTTACAAGTCGAAAATATGAAAATAGCAGTACTTAGACTTAAGCACAGATTATACACATGCATATTGCTGCACGCAGTCGTAGGAAAGTAATCATTCACTATATTGGAATACTGCTACCATTTGTTCACTTGTCATATTTTCGCGGTCTCTGTAAAACATATTCTGCCTTAGTATTATTGTTAAACCTTGCATTTGGGGAAGTCTCGGGGCAATACGCTATTGTGCCTCCCGGAGATTTCCATGAATGCGAAAGAGCACATAATACTTGTGCAGAATATGCATATTCAACACAGAAGTATTTGGTCTACTGGCATGGCCCAGAGGCCAGCCCACCTGCTGAAGGTACATTGGCCGAGACACGAAGTGGGCCTTTCACCAAAACTGTGAGTTAAACTACCAACCTATTACAGTAGCATTAACACAATGCTACTGCAAAACGTTGGTTGTTTAACTCTCGGCTTCGGTGAGGAGCCACTTTTTTGACTTGACCATTATACCACACCGGATGGGCTGGATTTCGGTCCATGCCAGCAACCCTAGTACCTTCTCTTTGCCCGAGCAGTATGTCTTCTTTCGTATTCAGAGAAGGCTCTGGACGCTACACTAATCATGATGCGCCTTCCTTTCTTTTACAAGTACTGGAACCTTGGATTAAATGTAGTGCACTCAATTGAATGCTTTTCTTCTGTGCAGAATTTCTTCAGGACTCTCATTCCAGGTCTAATCCATACCCAAAGACATTCCTTAAAAGTCGCATATCGTGTCACATTAGCAATGTTAAGGGCAAAATTACAGTTTGTGGGAAGTGTAGTGCCTTGAGACTTTTGGGAAGTCGTAAGGCGTCATGTTAGCATGGCAAAATAGATATTACTAACACTCACTAATGTTGAACGGCTACTGGCATGTCGTCGAGTGGAAGTGCAACCCCTGAGGGCTTCGGTGCCCTCAGAACTAAACAGCAACCAAAGCATTACCAAACGAAATCCGATAGTTCAACACTTTGCCATGATGTGCTAGTTAAAAGTACGGTCTTAAAGATTTTAGACATTTGTGTAGCTTTTCACTTCTTTATCTGGCGTTGGCAGGCCGAGGGTTTGGGCTGGGTCTTTTTGGAATGCTTCGAATAAATCAGAGCCGAAATGTGGACATCTCGATTTTTTACGAACACTTCTACCTCGCATGCATACCCATGCCAGAGCTTATGTTAACGCGAAATTAACACTTTGTGCACTTCAAAACCAAGTTGATCATTGAAAGTCGCAAATGTTGCTAGTTTGTGGGCATGAAGTCCACTACCTTGGAAAATGCGATTCAGTGCATGTCTACAGAGCCGTAGGCATGGTACTGAATTCACAAACTTCAGGAAACGAGCGACTTGGATCGTTTGGTCTGAACGCATTGGAAGAACCAGACCGGATGAGAGGGCGGCCCTCTCGTGCGGGAGGGGAGTCTGGCTAGAGCGCCGGGGAGATTGAACCGATTATAACGCCAACCCAGCACACCTCATCAAAGTCGAAGACCAGCTAGGTGGTGTTGATCCCGTTGCATAAATGCTTTGTATACAATCACTTCAATCCGATGGGTCTTTCGATTGAAATACTTGAACTTAAGTTTGAGATCCAGACAAAATTATATTGATCACAATGAAAAAATGATGCGAAAAATCTTATGTACACAAAGAAGTAGAGGGAGAGGGAATCGCTAGGAGGTGAGGGGAGTGTCAGCCGACTCGCGCCGTCTACGCAACCGGATGCAACGAGGGCAGGAACGACGGTCAGGGTCCCCATTGCGCAGTCCAAGAGGCGTCGCTATCTTCGGCCCCCTTGACGCTACTGTCTCCAACGCCGCAAGACAGGCGCGGTGGAAGCAGGCACCACAGTCAGAGCAGACTAGCGTGTCTGCCTGACCAAAGTGGGGAAAGAGGACGCGTCCGGTGTGACATACCTCACAAAGGTGACCCCTGGCGCGACAACGCAGACAATGGGAAAGGTGTGCCACACAGGACTCCAGCACTGCGCGTAGGCACCCCGACATGCTTTGGGCCGAGCTCTCTGGTGAGTTAGCTAGCGATACGAGGTCCGACAGACTCCACCTGTTTGCACAGGTTACCCAGTGCATGGGCAACTTGTCCACCTTGGCCAACACATTGGAGCCTGCAATACGAATGGAAGTGAGACTACCGCATCCCTTATTGTAAGCTAGGAAGTGGTGAAAATCATGCTCCTAAAGCGCACTCGCCCATCTGACTAAAACACTGAGTTAATGAAAACCACAAGGCTAATGCGATGAAGCCTTGCTATGAATTCAGTGAAATCTTTCGAAAGTATAGTTTACAAGGATGCTAGCAACAATGGAGCTTCCAACACAATTAAAAAGGGTTCATTTCAAGCTAGTATTCTCGCTATGTTGAAAGAGATCACAAGTCTACCTCTGAAGCGAAAACTCATGACAATAAAACTTTGAACCCACGTTGCTGATACTTTCAGACATAATACAAAACTAAACCAAGTCATGTGCAAGGCTAAAGTAATTTAGTAAAAGTAAAGCCTACTTTGTCAGCATTTGACCGCAACGATTTTAAGGCCAACAATCCCCACTTCATTCTTTAGTAATGGGGGAGAACGACCAGAACACCCAGGGTAGCTAATACGGGACAACAAGAAATTTTGTTCATGTGGGGACAGAAAAATTGCACAAAAAAATTACAGCCTTTCTTGAATTGTTATGCGGACGCATTCAATCACTATAGCCAAAGAAGTGGCTCATTAAAAAGCACTTTATCAGGCTAATAAGTAAGGAGGATGAACAATTTTGAAGTAGCTTCACAAAGTGGGGTTTTGTAAAAATTACATTGAAGGACCGTATCGACTGCTTACGAAAAAGCGATGTAATAAATCTGAGGGCTGTTTAAATCGGAATACAGGATAGCAGTAGATTCTTGAAGTGTACCGGGATTCAGCAAGAGGAGTGAAGTGCTTACTATCGGGACAGAGCCTGAGGAAAGGAATGATGGCCATGGCCTGGCGTCGGAGTTGAAAAGCGTCCAGAAGCGACCAAGGGGGATTGCGACGGATGGCAGCTCCAAAATCGGTGGAGTGGAGGAGGGGACGATTGTATGCGCGGACGAGGATGTCGCGCGCGAACTTACTCACAGGGTACATGGCACCACTCCAGGCATGCAGCAGAGCCCCCGGCACCACCATCAGCGTGTTCGCATGGCACACACAGCAGAAGAATCGACCAAAGTACTCACAGAAACGCATACTCCTCAGGTATCCTGCGTACACAGATAAATACATCCAGATTTGGTTTGGTGAGCCAACGCTCAAGGGGAATGACCAACTGATGCATAGGATATGAAAACTAAACCGACGTTTAACAGTGAAAAAAAAACGATGATCAATCCAAATGACCTGTTGACAATGCGAAGCATTTCAATCAAAAACCACACAAGTAAAATGATTTTCTACAATATAGAGCGCATAGAAGGATCCTGAGACCATTAACTGGAAAATCATGGTTGCCAAAAAGCCCGTTGACGGAAAGAGGAGTCAACACATTTGCATGAAAAACTCTCAGTGATACACTGAACAAGCGTTTAAAAAGAAAATTAGGCACGACCAAAAGCGACGTTAACTAAATGTAATTTTGGAGGATGAAATAGCTTTGAAGTTTCAACTACAGTTTGATGGAAAAAACAAACGATTCAATAAGATATTTAGGGCATTCTTTGATATTATTTAGCTACAGATAAATGGGAGACAGCACGCGCTCGCATAAATACACTAACAAATAAGGCAATGCTTGAAGTGTTTCCCATGAAATGAAGGCCAAACAGTGAGCCATCCGTGAAATAGCGCACCGTGAGGAAGCTGAAATAAATTTGTTTGTTTACGTTGAAAAAAGGATCAAAACGAACCCATCTTTAGAAACTGCATCGTCATGATGGCGGAATTAAGCACACAATGTAAGAAAAAGATCCTAACAGTAAGACATCAACGTACTTGTTTCTACAAAAACACCGCACCCAAAGCAGCAGTTTCGTTGGCTCAGCAGAATCCCCTTCCTCCTAAAGGTACAAAAGATGTGGGAATATGACTCAGTATGAAACCGAAGGATGAACCAAAAAAAAGTGAACGGGCCTTTCTTTGGGAATGATTGGACTAATAATGAGACGCTTTGATATTAAACGACTGGGTCCACCATCACCACTACCGCTGATAGTAGCGTCCTTCTGTTCTGTGGAGGTATTGCGAAAGAAATTTTCAACACCCACTGGGAAATGACGCTGATTGGAGGCGGTCGCCACCGTCGGTGTGCTGAATGACGGGGGTGGATCAGTCCCGCTATTGTTGTTGATTTGCCTAGACTTGGTAAGGGAATCCGATTCACACAGCGAAGAGAGACTCAGGATCTTTGGAAGTCCAAGCCTACCAAACAAAAGAGCCCCAAGATTTGGAGACACAGTGGACGTGAACTACAAAGCGAGTAGAGATTGCCTGCCTGTGAGAAGAATTAAAGTGATAGTCAACGGAAATGTTGCCAAAATATGCCTCCGGATGCAGTCGGAAGAAAAAATATGGGCGTGCAGCGATCCAGTCAGTGTCAGACATGGAGGCGAGACGTTCCTGTAGCCGTCGTATTCGTAAAGGAAGTGGAGAGAAACGAGAAAATGACTCCTGCACCATTGCGCGAACAAGACAACCAGCCACGAGGGACGTCTGACACGGCTGGAGGATCTCACTGGCACAATTGGTCGCCATTTCGCTGAACCCACTACCATCCAGATGAGAGTCATGGGGAAGACATTCATAAGACCTAACTCGGCGAAGGCGGCACTGTACCTGAAACATAAATAGACACGACTAAATGTACGAACCGGAAAAAGTGTCACCAAGAAGTGGGCACTTTGAGGCATACCCTTTGTAGAGTTGTCACGTTGTGGACAGAGGAGAAGCGTAGAAGGCTGGAGGCAAGACTGGAAAGTGGTGAAGGGAGATAAAAAGATTGTAAGTTGTTGGCCTCTACGAGTACCTTCTCGGCGTGCTCTAGGGATTTGGGAAGTCGAGAGGAGAAAGTTGAGGCCTCTAATTCGCCAATGAGATGTTCACAGGCGTGAAAAAGGGCTACTTCACTCGTAAGGTCCTCCTTAAAGTCAGGTGCCCCGAATTCATCATAGAAGAGTGCATCAACTAAAAGAAAATGACTTCGGAAAGGAAAGTCGAACAGTTGATTGCACAGCGCTCGACTAAAGGACCCATACTGAAGTCGGAATATAGTTAATTATTTGGTTCACAAATGTGAATCGAATAATAAATTGGGGAAGTTATGAAAGGTACTTTTACTCGGCCCACCACTTACAAGCATAGTCATTAGGAAAACTTACTTATTCTAGAAATGTAAGGGTGCCTTAAAATTAGCTGATCATCGAAAAAACGAAGCAAATGATCTTGTAGAAAGTGAAAGCACACAGAAAGAGCCATTAGAGATTAGTAAAGTGGGGACGGTTCAAATGGCATGCTTAATCTCTGATATCACGAATGACCTACTCGATAGAGTTCTATGAAAAGCATTAAAATCTTCTTCAGTTCCCATAGCTTCCATAGGACCGTTGGATTCCAATGTGAAAGCTGATGAGGACGGGAAGCTCTGACATTGGTTTTGTTGATAGCTTTTTCCATTGGTAGCGAAACTGACGAAAGGTATGAACAATTAGGTTCCCTTGCAATTTCATGTAGTTAGAATAGATTAATTTCAAGGTAGTGTGCTGTGAATGTAGAGGGACTTACAAAATGCAAGGAAGGAGCAACGTTAACGCTAGTTTTTAATCCTACTGATGAAGAGGGTTATTCGTGAATCAAAATTAGCAATCAAGTCCGAAATATACCTCGATAAAGAAGAACGCCATTCCACAGGCTCAAGGTCCAACTCGTTTGAAGTTCCTGTAATTATGGAAATGAGGCTTACGAATAAAACCCAAAACATTGTACATTCTGAAATGTATTGCTTAGTCGGTAAAAATAGGAAATTTAAAAGCAAAGAACACGCAAACAACGGATGTTGCAAATGCGGTAATGTTATCGGAACCAGTGACAGTTCTTGATGTTCGAAACAACTTAGGCCATAGCTGTATTTCATAAATAGATTAGTGAATGATTACATCATTTAATAGGGCTGTGGTCCACGACCTTGAAATATAGCAACCAGTACATCAAGAAAACATGCATAATCTCGGAATGTTAAGAAGACGTGCAAACTATTTAAATAGCTGACTCGCATGAAAACTACCGATGTTATACCAAATAGTCAGCACCAACCTTCGGGTGAATCAAATGATGACATTGTCATGTCTTCAGTCATTTCAATGCCGATCTGGACAGGATCAAACTGGCTAATTTCGTTGAGGCGCTCATTAGGCTGAAAAACCAAAATGAGAATGGTTTCATTACAACCAGTAGAACAATTGCAGGGCGATGTATTTCGCTTTGTAAAATCTGGAGGAGAAAAATGAAATGACATAACTGACTTACCATCAAATGGAGGTGGGTTAGTCTAAAACACATAAAGCACCTAATATCCCAACTACAAAATAAATCCATTTTTAAAGCATGTATAGTAACTGCCTAGGAGACACACAGTATATAAAGCGTAAGATGATGAAAACAACTAAGGGGTGACGAATGTACGTCTAATACAATTTATTGGGAAATGTATGACTCAATGGTACTGAGAAACTGCTTGGCAGAACTTTTGTATCAGCCCGCAAGATTGAATCCTTACTTAATTTGGTGTGGAATGTATTAATGAGTGGCCTGGTTGCAATGATCTCGCAAAGATAAAACTGGGTACTAAACTGGAAATATATTAAAAGGCCAAAATGTGCTAGAATTAAATGTTCTTCAAATACACGGCCAGAAAGTCTGTATTTGTGGCAAACTGAACAATACACCAGGACAGACATGAGAGAGAAGCATGTGGTATTCGTGAAGATGGAAACCAGGCGTTTAACCCCCCATACCAAGTCAAGACCCACTAGCCTAAGTAAGGAAAGGCCACCGAGAGCGGCGGGTCAGCGTCAAGCCAATAGAAAGGGAAGGGAGTGGGCATTTCAAGGTCATTGGGGGATTCAAACATTGTCCTGACATCGCGTAAATGATAGATAAAATAGTCAAAACATAAGAAACCTAAACCACACATTTTTACAAAGAAGTTATAAGCTGTGCTTAAGGATATAAATAAGCGATTTCATTCCAAGCACAAAATTTTACCAATAGTGTCATACAATAATTAGTGTTAAAATACTGTTGAGTATATGCTTGAACAGCAGTTTTATTTATATTTAGGGACCAGTTTGGTAAATTGAAACAGAGAGTTAGGGGAAATAGACTATGAGATGCCGATTTGATCATGAGGTCAAAATAGGAGCTGCAGAAACTTCAACCCCAGGATACCAATTTTGATGATTCGGCGACCGACGACTAATAACACCTAAGAATGCATAGTCAAATCAAAACCTACCTAAGGATGTCAGCTTACTAATATAGTTTTGCGCTTTAACTATTTTTACCTATAGCTGCTTTTTAAATAATATAGTATTCTGTGAATACTTATTTTGTTTTAATTCTCCTTTTAATTAGGAGGAGGGCCTACAAATCAAACCTAATGACCGAGGAGTCAAAGTCCTGTAAGCATAAGAAGGGTTCCGTGGCCACAGCCCCTTGAAATTATACTAGCTACCCACATTTACTTTTCCCAGTAAACATGACGAAGCCGAATCTACCTTGCTGTTCTAAGCGTAATACGATGGTTGTTTATCTCTCGGTGTTGGCGATGAGGCACTTTTGACTTGGCCTTTGTATCACTCCAGGTGGGCTGGCCTTCGGGTCATGTCAGTAGTCCAAAAACCTTCTCTGTGTTGAATATATATATTCTGTTCGTGTGTTGCATCTTCCTTCATCTTCAGGAAATTCTCGGGGCACTACATTGGTGGCAGCAGAGTGCGAACCCGATCCTATACGACATCTATCCTGATTTTTACTGCTGTGTGATAAACCTTAGCGGAGCGGAAGAGGTATATATGCTACGGTTGGGAGAATGGCAATGACCCCAAACAGAAGGGTTGAAATTGACGTATACCTTCGGCATCCATCCCAGTCCCGTTTTCTTCAGGAAAACTACTAACAACTGGAGCTACACTAGCCGAGAACCGTCTGGAAGTTACCCTACAGACTTCCCCTACCGTACCTGCATGAAGCTGTTAATAAAGTGAATTCGCGATACCTCCTCCATTTCTTTACTAGCTGAAAAGAGCCTGGGCAGCTCCAAATTGAGAACAACGTGGCAGGGAGGAACAGACGCAAAACCCTACTCCCACGGACCTGTGTTAAATCCCGTTCTTCTTTACACAAATCTACTTTTAGGTTAGTTTGTCTACATCTGTCTATGGACACGCATGATGGCCAGCACAATTTCCCGTTCCTGATTCAAGTTCCTAAACCGGACCTAACTCCAGATCCAGCTAAATTGCTGAGAGGGATCAGTAACAATGCGGTCAAATATCCCCTCAGTTGCATTGAAATTTGATGACTGGCACGGCTGGATCGCGAGTGTTTCTTTACAGTACCGACTGCGTTGTGACGGCTGACGCGGGAGGTTAACCAAGGGGAGCCCCAGGGACGACGCTCAAAAGAGGAAAGGGACTATGTAGTACGATGGTTGTTTGCCTATCAGTTTTGGATGCGGAGCTACTTTTGACTTTGCCGTTGTACCACGTCTGGTGGGGTGGCCTTCAAACCATGCCAGTAGCTCAAGTGCCTTCTCTGTACCAAATATGAATATTCTGCAGGAGCATTGTCTTCAGGGAGGTCTCGGTACGCAATACAAGAGTTTTTGGACCAGAAAAGAGGTGATCTACGAGCCTCGACCCACAGTTCTGCGATTTCCTTGAAGACAAAAGAAGATAATGCTTGTGCGGAATATGCTCTTTCGGCGTACAGAACGGCTCGGGAGCTACTGGCCTGGCCCGAAGTTAGGCCGTCCGACAGAGACACGAAGGCGGAGCCATCAGTTGTCCGTTACTAAAATCGAGAGTTAAACAAATAATCGAGTTAGTACATCAGTTTTGCTTACGCGGAATTAAAATAAAAAGCTAGATTTTGAGTCGCGTATGCAAACGGTAGAGTTTCCAAATATGCTTAGTCCTACGATGATGGTAGCACTGCAGCCCCCGTGTCTTCCCCGAAGTGGGGAGAAGTCTTGGTAGCATGGCAAAAAATGTTAATAACGAACATAAACGCTGAGATGCTACTGGCATGGTCCAGAGACCGCGCCGCCGGGCGAAAATTATAATCTACGACGACTTAGGTGCTCGCGGAGTAAATCAAGCGACCTGTGCACTACACATTATGTTGCTTCAAAATTAAATTCTCATAAAGTTTAGCTAAGATTTAATCGAGGGACTTACGGCCATAAAGTGAGCGAACTAAGTTTAGGCGTGAGTTAATCAGTAATCGCTCCACTGGTTGTATGTTTCGGCTAAATGCATCGAATATTGGTGTGATTCTGAACAAGCGTAATCTAAAATGCCCTCACGGGGGCTTGATCATTTCCTCAGAAATACGGAATAAATGGCTTTGGCAAAGTCACAACTTACATATGTAATTTTGGCTGTAAAGTAAAGAAGACAGTATAATGTGATAACTTATTCTAAAACCCATGCCTTAAATTTTCACAAACCTATATTGTTTGAAATTGCGTTCATCCTGTCATGTGGGACAATTTATTCTCCGCGTTTTTAGTTCATCCTCAGATGATTGTTTCACTGCTATTGGCAGTTGAATTCATCACCAACCTACATAGCAAATGCTTAGAGGCGACACCTACGAACTCGAGCCCTCAATGAGACCAGCGATGCGCAGTGATTAGATGCACCGACAAATATGGGAATGAAGAAGATCTTGAAATAGGGCGAAATCCCTGCAATACTGCTGATGGTATGACTCACTTATCTTAGTTATAACATTTAACGACAGTTGCAGTCTAAATATGTGGAAAGTTGCAAGTAATTCGTTATCAATATTTGAATGAATAGTAATAAATAACCTACCCAGATAGGACTAAGACACATTTTAAGGTCCGCAAATTTTTTTAGGCATTAGGGATGACTGTAACACGGACAGATCGAGGTGGGAGAAAAGCCAGATCACCTTCTCCTTTTTTATACCAAAACGTAGGGTGAGACTCACAGGTCCCCTCTTCCCTATTCCTAGTGCTCTTTGAGCAAGCCGGTGGATTTAATTTCGACATATTTACTAGGGGGAAATGGATCAGGAGAACACATACAATGTTTAGGGGGGGAGAAACCGCAGCCGCACTTAGGCACGGGAGACGACGACCCTGTCACCAGCTTCGAATTACGACCTTGCCTCCTCTCTGAAAGGGACATGAAAACAGCAAAAGCATTACAAAATGCATCTGAAATTTGAACAAAATGACAGTCATTTAATAAGAATATCAGAAAATGTAAAATCCCAAGAGGCCGTTAGCCCCCACTAAAGGATTATTTTAAGGTAGAGCTTGAGTATTAAGCGGCCACGATATAGCGGCTGAGGTATGGAAATGGCGTGCGGGAAGTGATTCCACCGGTGACGATCGCAGTGGCTGTGGCACGATCATGCGTGCACCTGTTGCCAAATCATATACCCGGGCACATCATGTTCGCCGGAGTCGTGGCTTTTACGAAGCGTATGATAAACCCGTAACAATGTAGTCACGCCAAGCTACATTAAAACCTAGTCACCTGACCTTTTCACGATTTTATAAATATCTTTTGGCATTTTTTGCAGTAAGCATTATGAGAGCATTTGAAGAAGATCACTGAGCCTAGTTTTATACCTATCAAAAATAGCTGCTCAAATAAGCAAAATGACACAAATAAGAAGGATCTTAATGGCCACGGTTGAGCTAGCTCTCATTTATAATTCTCTTATCTTCGTGATGATACAGGTTAGACAATGTAATTTACAAGTTTCACATCCATTTTAGTGGAGGGATTCTCATATAAAGGGCGCTTACTTATCTTAGCTTTGAGGCAAAGGCCTACAGGCGATCGTAACGACTGCCATATTTGCCAAGCTTCAGGAATTTAGATTGACTTCCCAAATCCTCAGAAAACTAGGTGGAATAATGTAATAGAATGACCGAGGTCATCAAAATTAGTCCTGAACACATTATAACGCAGTGCTCAAATTGATGACAGGCACCGAAGTGCTAAAATGGTAGATCAGGCGGAAAAATAGAAGCTAAAAGAGAGATTGGTGGTCAACTACCATGGCAGCGTGCACCACCAATTGCACCGTGTTTGGTTCGGTTAACCGAGGGGTGAGGCCAGCACTGAGTGCATTGGAAATCGATGGCACCGCAATTGCGGGTGCAACGCTTTTCGGCCCACCATAAAAAGTGCCATCGCTGGACCAGCACTTGCCGACCTCTCAGGGATGCAACTAACCCTTTGACCGGGATTTTACTCTGCTCCAGTATGAGTATTGTACCATGCGGTGAGTGACCTTGTCTCCTTCCACCTACTCATTGCAGGGTAGAATACTCCCACCAAACAGAGTCGAACGGCATTCAGTCGTGAGTTATTTGCTTCCAAAATTGTATCCCATTTGTTTACACTTGGAATCATCTTGTTGTTGAAGCGGAGCCCACAATATACTGTAATACGATGGTTGTTTATCTTTCAATTTTATGTACGGAGCCACTTTTGACTTGGCCTTTGTACCACGCTGGGTGGGCTGGCCTTTGGGCCATACCAGTAGGCCTAGTGCCTTCTGGAAATCTCGGGGCTCTACAATACCATGCGGTTACTCAAACAACCGAAGTTAGAGAATATTGGGTCAACTTCTCCAATGCATTCTAACAATGAAGTAAAATATCTGTTTCCTATTAGGAGAAATGTGGTTGTTTATTTAAAGCAGAGTACACAGTGTGCTTCGCGAAATCCGGCTTCCTTTCTTTTTCGTCTTTGTATAAGGGCTGTGTGGCTTGAGTCGCGTAAAGTGAGGAATTGTATGCTTCTTGAGGGCAGCAAGAAGAATACCGTTTTGTGAGAGAAGAATTCTCATGCTACATATTATACCTTGAAGCAGTTTTTGGCAAGTCACTCAAGGCCGCCAAATTGGTGGGTGGAAACGCTAGGGTTCCGATGGAGTTATCACAAAACTTACATCGGAATGCAATTTAGAGCTGCGTTCCCATTTTTTCCCCTTTGTAGAGAGTCAGCAATAAAAATGGATGTGGGTGTTTTGCGCTCTTGGGTATGCGCTAGCTTATAAGGTGATTTTGCCACTGAAATAGAGAAGTTGAGGGAGGTTAATGGTTCCAAACCAAGGCAAAATTGCGGAAGTTAAGCTCCCTTATTAAACAAATGAGCAGTGAACAACGAACATTAGCCATATCAGGCTACTTGCATAGTCTTACCCCAATCTTTGAGATATATCTCCGTTAAATTGCATTATTGTTTTGGCTGCTTGAATACCTAGTGCTCTGGTTCCATTATTTCCTCGAAGAGATGGCAAAAGTGAGCAGTCTGCTAAGTACCTCAAACATCCCCATTTGGTCGGTTTTGGGAATGTATTCAGCTATTCCCCAAGTTAGTACTACAAAACATAGTGATTTACGATGAAGAGACCATTGAGTCAATTCAAGTGTTAAAAGTCTTAACTAGTATTTACAAGTCGAAAGGTATTGAGATGTCATTTCGGCCCGAAAAATCGCAAATATATCAGGGAAGGTTCAAAGCCAAATACTACTACGAGTGCAAGTAGGTGTATTTGAAACTTTACTATGAAAATTATCCATCATCATCATCCGATGCTAAAAAATTCAGCTTTTACTACTCCTCACTGCTGAAAACAAAGTGTGACGTAACAGTAAAGCACAGTTTTATAAACCGCAGTAAATTTGCCCCGAATACAAAGTTTTTATCTTGCATTTATGCTGCATAAGTACCAGACGAGAAAATTACGAACCTGAATTTTTAAATGCTTGAATAAGGGATCATCGGCCCAAAACCCACTAAATAGTACTTTTTACTACGGCGGAAGAAATGCTAACAATGAAATGAAGGGCTCTACTTAGCAAAGATAATTGCCAGTTTGGGCAAAATATTGTAAAATCTAAAACTAGTCTTTAATGATTCAACAGGATATCATATAATGAAAACACCCCAACTCATCACACTAAATCGCTGTTGTGCTCTGCCTCCTCCTCCTCCGCTGCCGTCGTGTTCATAACGAGCTCCGCAGTTTGTACTTCCGCTGGTAAAATAAACTTTGCCGCCGTTTTGTCTCTTTTGCACTCTTGCTGCCTGGTTGGTCTTTTATTCACACTTTCCTCTTCACCCATCTCGTTTTGACTTTCCACATCTCTCTTTAATTGCATCCCCACGTCCAGCTCCTGAAATTTGTCAACTTCCACTTCTTCCTCCTCAAGCTTCAACTCAGGCAATTCACCTACCTCAATTTTCACCAATAACTCTTCACCGGGTTCAATTTCCTGCGGCTGCGCCTTATCAATCAATTCAGCTTTATTAGTTTCTGACTTCTTCCTACTAACAGATGTCTCTTCCTTTACGTCCACTTCTTCGTGGCAATGCCTCATCTCCATTTCCGATTCTTCCTCCCTTGGTAATCCCTCCTCCCAAACTGGTTGCACCGCTTCAGTCCAGACTATCGCGCTTGAGCTTTCTTTACCCTTCTTATTTTCATCCATCTCAAAAATTTCCATTTCTTCATAAGTGACACTAACCTCTTGTTTGCCACTTTCTTCTAACTGCTTTTCCTTTGGTTCCGCCTTTGTTGTCGCATCTGATTTGATCTCCACCTCAACTTTATCAATGAAGTTCTCTTCGCCTTCTACTTCTTCATTGATCTCGATGGGGTCTATCACTACCTCCTTGGGTTCAACCCCATTTTGCTTTACTTTTGACTCTTTATCCTCCAAACCTCCATCTCCTCCTCCTGTCACCTCAAATAGCTTTACCTCTTCCACTTCAGCTGTCTTATCTAAGTTCTCTTTACCTTCTTCCTTTCCAGTCAACTCAACGGTATCCATTGGCACCTCTATTGTGCTAGTAACTTTTTTCTCAGCTATTTTGAATTCTTCATTCTCCACTTCCTTCTTCTTATCAAGGGCTTTCACACCGTTGAGTTCATCCGTATTTTCCTTGTCCTCCTCATCATCAGCATTTTCACCCATCTTAATCATTTCTATTGCTTTTTCTATTCGTCCATCTTCTTGCCCACTCTCTGTTCCCACTATTCCCTCTGTTGATTTTCCTTTTGCCTTTTCAGTTTGTTTTGTAGCATAATTCGCGTCTGTCTCATTAGAATCTGCCTCACTTCCATTATTCATGCACATCTTCATGGCTTTTAATGCTCTCTCAGTTAAATCCGCCTCTGTTTTTTCTGCCTCCTGGCAATGCTCATTATCTTCGTTAACTTCTACCAACTCTTCAATTCCTTTCTCTATCACGGCTTTTTCTTGCGTTGGTACTTCCACTTTCCCCCCTTCGTTACATCTCGGAAATTTCAAATTGCTTCCTTTCGCCAAATTTTCCAGCTCCCGATCTCCCTCCTTAACTTCAGTTCCAGTCTCAGTCGTTTCCTTTTCTTCATCTGTAGCCTTTACAAACTTATTTGGGTCAAATTGAACTTTCGTTTTATCTTCCATCCCGATTCGACCAATATCTTTAGGCCTATGCGAAAATAGGGAATCTAGGTTATAACAGGAAAGTTCCTAAAAACAGTTGAAATATATAGTGCATTAAAAGCCATGGCCGTAAAATCTCCTACTAAGTAAAAGTTTTATTTTAATGGTCGTTTAGGCATAGAAGTTAATGATGACGAGATATTTAATTTAGTGCATTAATGAATCTCCTCGTTTTGTTATAACTTTGAGAGTCGTTAAAGCAAATGCCTACTCCCGCATTCATTTGCTAATCCGGATTTATGGTTAAACATGATCCGACTAAAGATGTTCACTAGGCTTTTGAGTCCAATAATGAATTACCCTTCTTTCGCCACATGAGCCCCGACCGATTCCTCATAGCCATTCTCAAATTCCGGTTTCTTCCCATTCTTCTCTCTCCTCGATTTCTTCTCCGTATCATCGAGTCTGAGAACCTCGTCTTTGCGCTTCTCGACTTTCTTAAATACTTCGACGGAAAATTCGCGTACTTTTGCTAGTAAGGGGGAGGGAGGGAGAAAAATAAGCCTGATCTTGAAGTCGTACTTTATTAAATAGTATGAATGTGAATTATTGTTAACAAATGACCAAATCTTACCAAACATGAAGGCGGTGTTGGAATAGAGATAAAGGAATTTCTAAATACGGGTTTCGTTTCACGTACCTTATATAGAAGAGTTGTAACGAGGACGAATGCTGGTAGACTGCGACCGCAGGTAGCAGCAATCGTCGCCATGGCGTTTTACGACTCATCTGTTGGACATGCACGCTTTCTAAGACCCCAAAATCTCCATATATTTGATTTTGCCTGCTTTAATATGAAAAAATGGCATTGAACGATGCATTTTTGACTATTTTTTTGACTGAACTTTATATTTTAACAAGGTTATGATAATAAATATTTAGAAATGTGCGACATGGCTTCAAAAACTATAGTAGTCTGTCACAACTTTTGGGCTATTGCAGCAGATCACATTTAGAACATTTTTAATTTAAAATGAACAAAATATTTTTGCTTTAAGAGTGAATATATGATTCAAGCAAACGTTAGTGTATTGTGGAAATTAATATTCCAAGTAATCATTGTGCATGTCGAAAAGAGCTCGAATAGCAAAGGAGGCACTGCCTATGAAATGCTGGCAAATGGAACCGTCGAGGGAAAAAATTTTGTAATATAACTCGTACAAAGCCTTAGCGATGCTCCAGAGTGCCAAAAGACTAGATTCGCTAAATCACAGAGGAATGGTACATGACCTTTTGAAATTAAACTGTTACAGGACAGTCCGAATAATTCACCCTGGTGTAGCGTCCCGAGACTTCCCTGAAGACAAAAGAAGGTATAATAATTGGGCAGAATATATATATTTGGCATACAGGAGGTACTAGGCCTGCTGACATAGCTTGGAGGCCAGCCCACGCGGCGTGGTACGAAGGCCAAGTTAAAAGTGGCTCCTCATTAAGGCCGCGAGTTAAACAACCAATGTATTACGCTAGTGTTGGACTGAATTAAATGGTCTGAGAACCCAATCTAAGGTGTATGCTTGGTCAGACCAGTTACCTATAGAGTTAATAGAATTCATGACTTGTTATTCATTAAGGTAGCTTTTCGATTGTGCTAAGATGCAGAATAGATTGCTACATTCTTATAAGGTGGCCACACATTCATCCTGCTGACTTGTCCACGCTTACGTGACTCAAGAGTGCAGTTGGCAGACCGTTATAAGAAGCAGCACTCCAATTTTTTTTGCCTTGGCCTAGCATTGCAGTCGCGTTTGCAACTAGCTGTCGCAACTACTGCAGTCTTGCTGAGGTTGTTTAAAGGTGTAAAAAATTGCTATATTGTAAAAGTAGCAAACAGCCTTCGGTGTAAATTAGCCTAAAAGCAAAAGTTATTCCTACTACTGCAAAGAATCATTAGCTTGTCTTCGCAGTCTCTTCACTCAGTAGTATGGACTAAATCTACCCGAAATAACAATCTTCACTGGTTTATGAATACAAAGCGTATAAGATACTAAAATGCAGCACGCAATATTTTACAAGCTACGCGCTCAGGTAACTTTGGCTCAACTTCTCTCTTACATACATAGAAGCGCAAGTTCATTCATAACATGAATATTAATGAGGAGTTTTTTTTATAAACCGATCAGGGTACGGTTACTTCAACTATACAATGCTAGAGGATTTTTGCCGTTTCGCCGTTTTTCTCTAAGCCATAAAACACGCAGTGTTGATGCAAAAGTACACAAAATTCGGCCTTTTTTACCATGCATCGATGGTAATAAGGCACAAAACGTGCAAGAATGTGGAGTGAAATGTTGGTTGCAAGACACACGTGAGGAAGCATACGATTCACTAACGCATTGAGACCAGTTGAGTTGATGAAGTAGCCGGTGTGATCCCGTGAAAAGTGCTGCATGTGAGGGTGTAGCTATATAAAAAACCCGCAGATGTTCACACAGTCAGAAGACGTGTTAGATTAAGGACTGGTAAGTTCATTTAGTGTTTCAGATAGCCTTTCCAAGAGCATACTTCGACAAGTAGTTTACTTTTGCGTAGCAAAAATATTTATGCCATTTTACATATTGTTCCTAGATTTAAAAAAATGTATTCTAAAAATAAGGCTTACTGGCTATCAAGTAAACGTGTAAAGGATATGTAAAATTTAATGGCTAAGAATGGTTTACAAATATGGTGCAAATATTATGCACTATGCTCAAATATGTAGGAAAACACAGAAGAAAATGGCTGACAACGAGGAAGCGAAGGAGGGAGGAAACAAAGAGGAAGAGGAAGAGGAGAAGGAAGAGGAAAAGGAAGAGGAGGGAGACGAAGAAGAAGCAGAAGAAGAAGAAGAAAAAGAAGCAGAAGAAACAGAAGAAGAAGAAGAAGAAGAAGA